CTTACTTAAGCCGGCCACTTATATTGTAATACACCTGATTTTTAACATCATTAAATGGTTTTAGAGTTTATTCAACTTACTGAATTGAAGATAATAAATTAATTATTATGGGAGTTAATTCCGTTATATCCTATATAGTTCCATTTCTTAAAATATTATGGGAGTTAACCTCTATTGGAGTAATTTCCTATTATGGTCAACTATGGTGAGTAGCACCAATGTACAAATTGACCTACGATTTTAATTTATAAGCATTATTTCTTTTCTTTTTTAGTTTGATGAATGGTTTTTAAAATTAAAGTACGTAGATTCTTCAAATTCGGAATCTTTATTTGTTATCATTTGAAAAGGTTTACATTACATGTAATTTCTTTATTTGTAATTGATGGTTTAGTTCTTATCGGATCTTCACATTTATATAGTAATGTTTAATTTGATAATCACATTTTTTATTTTAAACATTTCAATACTCAATTTTATATACGCAAAGAAATTAATTTACAACACATTATAACTCATAAAACAACTACAACATGTGCAGATGCACGGGTACCATACTAGTTATATATGAAAAAAAACGTTTTAATCTATTCTACACGTGTTTTTTCTAACATTACCTAGAGATGTTGTTGATGAGTTAAGAAACCCGGGTTGAGAGAAGTGAGAGAGTAGCAAGCTATAAAGAAAGAAAAAGTATACACTATAAGGGTAGGGGTAACAACACAAAAAAGTTTAAATTTGGGAACTCATTTTCACAAGTTCATAGGTTATCTTTAAAACATAAATAATAAAAACTAATTATAAGCACCAATTGAAAATGGTGCACCCAAAAAATGTGTTGGTGTAATATCTCAGTTTTGTTGGTATGCACCCAAAGTCGGTGTACTTTCTCTCCTTTTCTCCCTTGGCAAACGGCTGTGTCACTGAAAATATTCTCCTCATCTTCTCTCAACCATCTCAAATATTAGTTTCACTTTCCTTCATCTTCTCCCCATCCTTCAAGATATATTAATTTCGTGCTTTATGATGATTGCATTTAAACATTCATTGAATATTCAATTCGAGCTTGGTTGTAACCATTAGTTTAGTTGTTTCCATCTCCCATGCAACGCAGGTTATATCAACTCAAGAACCTTCCACAATTTTATGTCCCCCTATAATCTTATGTTACTCAACACTATACTCCAGGTAAGCATCCTTGGCATTTTTCAACTTCCTAATTTTCTTCAACTGATTTTATTGCATGTCTAAATATTAGTCTCAATAACCTTTCATTGAGCACAATTCCATTTGAATTGAATATCCCTATAAAGTACTCATATTTATGGAAAATTCTCCTCAGAATCTTCATATCAAGCTATAAGAGCTTTTGGGCACTCATATAGTCATATTATGAGTCCGTTTGGAGAACTCTGTTTTCGGCTTATCAGGCTTATCAGCCAGCTTTTTCACCAAACACGTAACTTTTACTTTCGCGCGCTGAATTGTGTAATAAGCCGAAAAAGTAAGGTTGGAGTTACTTTTCTGGCTGTATTGGCTGAAGTTACTGTAGAGGACCATTTTAGCTATTTTTACATATAACTTTTTCTTTAATTTATTAATAAAATATATTTTTAAAATATTTTTTTCTTAAATCAGCAGAATCAGCCAAAATAGCCACTCCAGCCAGAATATCATAAATTTCAGCAGAATCAGCCAAAACAGCCGATTTTGGTGCTACCAAACGGGCTCTATATGTATGTATCATACTTTCATATATTTATGTGCTTAATATGGATCTCGAATTAGTTTAGTTCCGGTTTAAACTATAATCCAAATAACATGTACATTTAGGCTATAAGGTCCTTTGATGGTTGGCATGCCTTGGGTCAATTTCCCCCTTATGTAATGTTGATGTGAAAAAAAGAAAATAAATCAGATCAATTGTTGTCAGCTTTCACCACGTAATTAGTCTCGATAAATGGCATTTAGCTATGAGTGTATATGTAAAGTTGCTAGCCATTTGAAATGCAAAACTTTGTGTTGTTAAACTTCTAAAATGTAAAAATAATAGATACAATTATGGAAAATTTTATCATGTGTCTGAACAATCTAAGCAATCCCTTCATAATATTCTAAATTCCCTTTCTAATTTAAAATTATGTTCTAAGCTAATTAAATTTTGAAGTAATTAAAGCCCCTAAAATCTAGATTACTCCTTATATTATTACTCCAAAAGCTCTTTCGTCGATGGGTGTTAGAACTCCTAAAATCCTGAACTACACTATAGAAACTCTTCCATGGATTAGAATTATAATTGATTGATACAAATTAGAACTCCAACTAAAATTCAACAAAATTCCTTAAAACTCACAATTAATATAAATCACTTTGATTTGATTTGTGAATGTCAAAAAACTTAAAGTGATCCTAGAATTACAAATACAAATACAATTTTAAATTGTATTTAAAATATATTACATTAATATAATAATAAAAATCGAAAAATAGCTAAAATGACCCTTTATAGTAACTTCAGCAAATTCGGTTAGAAGAGTTACTACAATCTTACTTATTTTTATTATCATGCTATTACAAAATTGTATTTAAAATATATTATATTAATGGAATAAAGAAGAATTATACTTTGTATGAAACTAACTAAAATGATCATCTATAGTAACTTCAACCAATTCGACCTGAAGAGTTACTCCAATCTTACGTATTTATAGATTAAGCACAAAAATAAAACGTTACGTATTTAATAATAAAATTGACTCATGTCCCCAAATTGGACCTCCTTTTCGGTGACTAGTCAAACTAATGATTCACTTCTCAATTGGTTTTACTTTATTGGTTGTTGGTCAAATCAATTCTCCCTTTTTCGATGATTGGTGAAGTCAGATCTTTTAGTTGTGATTTTTTATTTTCTATTTAGAGTAGCAAGAAGAGCACAACACTATTAGATCAAACTACATTATTACAAGATTAGTTATATGGAAGGATTTGGATCTTTTCCGCTCTATGTATCATCTCATTGTAGCCTCAAGCTATTCATTCATTCTGTTATATCTTTGTTATCATTTAATAATAAATTAATTATTTAATTTAAAAAAAATACTCCATAATTTTTAAAATTACTACTTGATTAAAAGATGTTTTTCCGCTATAAACATTATGAAGTCAACTTTATGCATAGGAATTGGTAACCACATTTTGAATGATTGTCTCATTTATAAAACATGTGCTTGATATGGTTACAAGCAATGCAGTATCTTCAAAAATGAAAATCCATAGAGCAAGCGTAATAAAATAAACTTTGTAACATTTCATATTCCGTTAATATTGGATTGTTTTGTCTTTTGAAGCTAATTTATATTCAATTGTTCAAATTATTTCACATTAGCTTTATTAGTGCCCCAATAGTTGAAATTTCTAGATCCACCCTTGAATTTATCACCAATTCTTCAATTCAATTTATAAGAGATGAATAAACAAGTTTTCAAAAAAAAAAGAAAAAAAAGAGATGAATAAACAATTTATAAGAGATGAATAAATGTTATGCCAATAATTTCATTTAGATAACAAAATACTTAATGAAACCGGGACCGGGACCTAAAGGTTAAACTCACCGATCTTAGGGCCTGTTTATTTAGGACTTAATGAACTGAATAGAAATTGTGACTTATTCGTTCAGCTATATACAAGTGTTTACTTATGACTTAATATTAAATGTGACTTATTCGCTCAGACCTTTTTGACTTATTGGGTTCAGCTCACTTTTAGTTGTCCTTACGGTTCAGACATCTTCTGTTTATCGGAGTCTCCCTTTTAACCCTGGCTTCTCCTTCGATATTTCATCGCTTGCACCAGCCTCCATTTGACATTAATCGCCGACACCAGCTTCATCGCCAATACCAGCCTTCTGCATCACCTGATTTTAGTGCCGACGTCAAAGTCTTCTCCACCCCTCTTCATCACCTGATTTTAGTGCCGGGCTTCTTCTCCACCTCTTCATCGCCAACATGACTTGCGTTTTGAAGACATTCCATCGCCCTCACAAACTTTCTCTGCCTTCCTCAATTAGGTATTTACTCTAAATTTATATTTGGCCAATATATATTTCTTTATATACTCAATCTGATTTTCGACATTCATTATATTCGGCCCTTTTCAAATTTTGTGGAAAATATACCAGGAATGAAAATTAGGGTTAAACTTCTTTAACTTAACTTAATTGAAGTTAATTTAAGGTTTTGAATGAGGATTATAAATGATTTTAGTTTTTAACTTGTTAAATTTTAGTTAAATTTGAAATATGCTTGAAGTTAATTGTAGTTTTTAGTTTTTAGTTAAATTTGAAATATGCTTGATTTTAGTTTTTAACTTGTTAATTTGTACTACGTATTATCTTTTAAATTGAATATGTTGTCATAGTATTCTTGAACTTTTGTCATATTATATTATATTATATTATATTATATTATATTATATTATATTATATTATATTATATTATATTATATTATATTATATTATATTATATTATATTATATTATATTATATTATATTATATTATATTATATTATATTATATTATATTATATTATATTATATTATATTATATTATATTATATTATATTATATTATATTATATTATATTATATTATATTATATTATATTATATTATATTATATTATATTATATTATATTATATTATATTATATTATATTATATTATATTATATTATATTATATTATATTATATTATATTATATTATATTATATTATATTATATTATATTATATTATATTATATTATATTATATTATATTATATTATATTATATTATATTATATTATATTATATTATATTATATTATATTATATTATATTATATTATATTATATTATATTATATTATATTATATTATATTATATTATATTATATTATATTATACTTTTTGCACTCAGAGTATCAATCGGAATGGCAAAAGTAAACATATAATATATGTTCAACACTTATTGGAAATAGAAGGGTAAATTAGTCATTTGATCTAATTCAGACTACACATTCAGCACTCAAAGTAAACAACTTGTTATTCTACTGTGACTTAATTCAGACAGACGTCTTAATCCAGCCAGACGTCTTAATCCAGACAAGGACTTGATGAAAAAAAAAGTAAACAGCCCCTTACTATTACTTAGTACAAGGATTTCCATATTTTAGTTTTTAATCAAATGTTGTCTATCAAACCCTGATCATCAAAATACTACGTTTTATATCACATTTAAATATAAGAACATGAAAGATGGATCAACTGATTAAGCAGTAATCCAGACTTCATGAAAGGAAATAAGAGTTACATAGCGCTTGCCATAAGCCACTAGAGGTGCACACAACAAAAGATGAATGGTTAACATAGCTTCATAGGCTCCTAGCTGCTTATGAATATCTTCCATCCAATGTTGGTTTAAAAAACGCCAGCTCAGCCCTTTTTAGATCTAGGCCACCACAAAATCTATTTCTGCATTAAAGAATTACAGCTGATCAATAGATTCACCCAAGAGTGGCTATGAGGTTTGCAAAATCCCAGAGTATACGACTTTCATGGAAAGAGTGGGTTTCTAACATTTAAATGCTATTGTTTGAAGTGCTAACTGCATATTCATTGTAAAAGTTAAAATTCTAGTTTTTAAGCATTCCGTTAGTGTTAGAAATTTCAATGTGTATTTTCTGTAACATGAGGAATGATTTTATGTTGACAGACGCTTCTGTGCTATCTCACTTTTTCCCCTTGTCTTTACAATTAGTACCAAAATAAATTGGGAGTTCACTACAAATGGCATAATAGTTTTGTTGTTTGATTGAAGATCATCTGAATGATCAGTCTGTTAGAGCTATTTTTGTAGAAAAGGATGGCAAAGGGCATCATGATTTATCAAAACGTGGGAAGCCTACGGCTGTAACCAGGAGGATAAGGAGTCCCTAAAACACCAGCTTTTTGACATATGTGATGGTAATATCAAAAGGAAAGGAGAGATTGTGAAAGAGGAAGACAGTATATTACTACCTCCGTCCCTAAATAAACTTCCAACTTTCCTTTTTCGTCCGTCCCAATTAAAACTTCCATTTCCCCTTTTTGGCCACAATTTGTGGTTCACAACAATTCTTACACGTTTCTCTCTCCTCTGCACAACTCTCCACCACACAATACTCACTATCTTAAACTGTGTGCCAAACCTATTTGGAAGTTTAATAAGGGACGGAGGGAGTATAATTCTAATGATTTTTATCACATGCAAATGACTTTGAAAAAGAAAGTTATCACATCAGATATAAGTTAATAAGAAGAACCAATTAAGCAGAGCCTAAAGTTGTTGAAAGACAATAGGAGTAGAGCTACATAGAACTTACTATGAGCCACTAGAGGTGTATAGGAGGAAAGATGAACTGTTTGTATAGCTAGATATGAATTTCTTCCCAGTTGAAGTTGGTTGGGAAAATGCCAACTCGGCCCGCTCTAGAACTAGACCATCACAACAGCTAATCCTGCATCAAACAATAAAATTGATTAACAAAATTCACTAAAAAAAGGAAAAGGTGTGAGAAGGGTTGAATGGTATCCAATTTTGACGGAGAGTCCATGACAGTTTTTCCATAGCATAAAAAACTCGAGTACTTGAAGCAAGAAATTACAAACAAGGAAAATAAACGGAAGCCTTCGTCATTTTTATTGGTTCAAGATATTGCACAGAAAGTTTCATCCACTAAGGGAACCAGGGCATTTTATCGTGATTGATTGCAAACAGTTGGTAAGCTCATTCATCTTTTTCAAGAGTAGAAGCTATATAAAGATCTATAATGTACAAGTTAAATAGCCCATATAATCTCATAAGAAGTAAACAGCCTGGATAAAAATACATGTACTACTTGTCTACTTGACTTGTTTGCTCAATCCGCTCAAATATACCTCACACGAGTTCTTAGACATTTTCGAGGCTTTGGGGGATCCAAATTTAGGGAATATGTACCACTTTATGAAATAAAATTTCAATTTCAATACAAAAACCAAAGCTGATGAATAATACATTTGTGAATAAGATGTTACCTAGCAGCATCTAGCAAATAACTAGCAATTTGTTTTCTTCTGTTGGAAGGACTGACCCAAATGGCTCTAATGCCACATGAAGCAGGTACAGCTTCATCCTCGCACAAGATAACCCCAAATCCTTCATCTGAACCTTCGAGTCTTTCCTTAGAGGGGTCTTTTCTTACTTTTTCCCGTTGAAAACAAACTCCCCCAAATTGCAAAACTGAAGATTTCCGACTTACTTCGGTTTTAGCCGAATTATTTGACCCGTTTCCTGATGAACTAGGCACAAATCTGTAGGCCCTGTTTATCCGTTCTACTATCACACAGCCAGCAATTCTTCCAAAGGTTATAAATAAATACACCTGTAATTAGACAGTGTATTGAAAATGCTAAGTTCAGAAAACTATGTTCAAGTCTTCAGGTCATGGAAGAACAATCACAAAACATGATGTATTTTCTGGAGTGGAATTGAGTCATTGACAAGATATGAGTACACAACTACACATTACACACAATCTGAGTATTGAGAACAAAGCTTCATTCTTATACCAACAATTACTACTAAATGAGTTGTTTTTTACCTTGCACTGTTGATGGTATATCCACCCATGTCCAAGTTCTATCTCCATCATTTTAACAACTTCCAGAACCTGACAAATACGTTGAAAGTTGGAACCACTAAAGTTAATCGTTTTGCCAATAAACTACTGAAAACTAGCGTTTGTTGTGGAAACAAAGATTTACACCATAATAGGTGAAGTAAAAAACATGAAGTTCACCTTATTTCTCCATGGAGAAGGGTCGTCGTTTAACACCAAGATAATGCGTCCAGTTTCAGAAGAAGTCGGAATAATTCTTTCATTTTGCCAGCCCTGCTAAGTAAATGTTAGCAGTCAGAATAATGCGTCAATCACACATAAAAATAAATACTTTGAATATAAAAAACTATTCTGAACACATACAACCTTTAATGGAATTCCTCGAGTGTAATTCTTGTGAATTTTCTGGTGAACCTTCTCATCAGCTTCTTCACCAGTGGCATACTCAAAGCCGCATACATTGCAAGTGTGCAACACAAAATCAGACTGACCCAATTCCAAATGAAATTGAGCATAATTTCTTTTCTTATTCAAATTTTGAGGAGGAACCAATTTCACAGTTGAACTCCTTGATGCAATTTCGTGGGGTGGTTCACTATTTGATCCATCCCTGCTATCACCAAATATCAAATATTCATACAGCCGAACAGTCAAGAAAAGAGTAAATGATTATTATCAGCACAATTCGAGCATTATGCTTTATTAAGAAATAAGTTGTCAAGAAGACTAAACAAATAAAGAATGACATGGTACTTGAATTGAAATAAAGGTAAAAAACTGACCAAAAAACACATAAGGTTGTGACTTGTGACTATGCGTTCCCTATTATAAGCGGACTAATGTAGTAAACTTGAAATTAAAAAGGAAATGAAGAACAAAATCTACTCACGTTAACAAACCAACAGAAAGCACAGCCCCACCATTGTTACAAACGGGAAAATAAAGGGCAAATTGAAACCACACACACAACAAAATCTTTGAAGACTTGAAATGCTGTGATTAACAGAATAGTAGGAAAAGCCGGGGAATTCAATAGCTCATACGGGAAAAATAACAAATACAGTGAACGTACCCCGGCTTGAAACTTCTACGCTTGTAAGTATTGGTGATATCTGGGCGTTCCAATTGTGCAGCCTCGCAATCGAACAAATTGCCTGAGATTGAAGAAGCGGAGACGGTCTTGGAAATGCAGGGCTTGAAAAAAGCTTTTATTTTAGATTGCATTCTTCAAAACAATTCACTCCACATATTCTTTCTTTGTTGCTTCAGAGCAAGGACAAATCATACTGCAGTTCCCTTTCTTCTGCTGCACAGGTATGAGCAAAACGTAAAAGGCCCATTCAATTGGAGGCAAAAACATTCTGTCCCGGCACGAATAAAATCTTCCCGCCAGCTGATTTGGGGATTTTGTCCAAAAATAAAGTAATAATAATTGATTGATGGGTTAGGCCACAATGGCCCAAAATGGATGGTTCGGATTTCGTTAGCTTGGGCTAACATAAAACAAATTAATTGATTATTTGGGTTTGACTGCGATTTTGTAAGAAACATTCTTTTCAGCCCGACCTTTGTTCTTGTTGGAGAAATAAGAAACGATCCTAATCTGATGAGTATTAACATACCTCTGTTATCCCAAATGACTGTCAAGTGTGGCTTCATCAAGTGCTTCCAGGCTAGATGAACGATGGGGAGAATATGCGTATGGACGAGGCAAAGGGTATAATCTTTACACAAACATAATAGGTTAACAAATAGAGCTTGATGCAAGAAAGACTCAGGCAAGTACAGAGTGGAATGACAACACGAGGAGATGGGTGAATAACTGTATAATCATACCAAGAGAGGAACCACGAGGGTAATTCTGCTTCTGATTCTGTTTAAGAACACAATAAAAAACTCAGATATCAATTTTCCTGGTTGTATACTAAAAAATATACAATCAGAATCCCTTTTTGGGAGCTACAACCCAAACTTCCCCAAATTTATATCCAAATACTCAAGCAAACTGATGCAGCTTTAAATATGTTTTAAAAATCAGTTCTAAACACCCCCAATATATAAAATAAAAACAAAACTGACCTAGAAAGGAAATTGCGAACAGACAGATAGGTTATATCAAATTATCAATATTCAATAAAGGACTAGTTCCAGATGGAAAAAGGGATAAAAACTGCTGATGTGGCGGCCTTATATGATTTTTGCAGAGAACGAGTTTAGGAATCCCCAACCACCCAAGAAACCCTAACCACCTCATTACCCGTTAAAATTAATATATAATAGTTAGTTTATTCCCAGATTCAGTACTTGGTCAATGTGGTTTTCACAGTTTACCTGGAACAGTTCAATGCAAGTACTGGATCATATATAATTGTCACCCCTACTCCTGCATTATTTAAACGGCACTCTTTGAGCACATAATAAGTTGGCACACCTAATTTAGATATGGTGCATATTAGCGACATCAATAATTTGTCATGGAACTAGATATTCACCTATCCTGAGATCCATATAACCTATGTTGGGGTGGGCAATTTAGTGATGACAAAATCTTCTATGACCACAATACCACACATGTTATGGACACAACCGGCATCATTTAGGATGTTTAAATGAATTTATTTTGTTGAACAGGGTTGGGTTTTTAGATAATCTCATAATCATAAATCATTCATTTTAAACTGGGTGATAAACGTTGTGTTAAAACTCAAACTTGAAATATTAAAATATTTGGAAACTTAGAAACGAAATCAGAACCACAGCACAAAATGAGTAAACCACCATAATTTAAAGTTGTGACATGATGGTCTGGGGCGGATCTAGCATTTCAACCTAGGTGGGGCCAAAATTTTCATATACATAGTAAATGATATTACGTATAATTACAATTGAAAAAAAAAGTAAATTAAAAAAATAAATGTTTCAAATGTTTTACAAGGATAAGAGTTTACATCCCAGGAAAATAAAAAAACACATAAAAAGTTCATACTTGTTCTCTACGGACTTTCATAACATGATATCACTTGATAATGACATCACTTGATGATCACTGTCAATTTTCAAAAAGATATCTTTTTTCTCAACAGGTTTATCTAGTCTTTTTGGAGTTTCTTCAACTAGATCTACGAGAGGCCAATACCATTCTTAGTGAACCATCTTCATTAGCTCCTACTTCAAAAGATTTATAATATCTCTTCAAACCTACCTCAATCAGCTTTTATTACTCTACGACAATACATAACATCCTACAATAAGTTAGAAAATAGCAAAAAGGTACTCACAGGTCACATGTGTATTAGAAGCAATAAGATTCATACTAACAAAAACTAATGGTATTAATGATAAAAATGATATTTGTCACAATTTATAATCATACGAATACTTATGGTTTAATGCTAAACGTCTAAATAATCAGATTAATACTGACAATGATATTAATGCTAAAGGTATTCAAATATTAATACTAAACAATGACACTAAGATTCATACACACAAATCACTATAATATTATAAATTTACCGAAAATGTTGGAGAGTTGAAAACAACCCAGAATCAAAGTACATAAAATTACAAGTCACGAAAATTGATTTATGATAGCATACTTTCTAAGTATACACAAATTGAGCTTGTTTAACCGGAAAGAATAAATAAAAATACTATGTTTCACTAATAAAAATTTCAGAAAACTACAATTTACTAATTGAACAGAAAAAATGGTCAATGAGTAATTGAGTCTGAACACATATCATAAAAATTCACTAATTTAATAAGGAAAAATTTCTATTTTGAATAAAATCTGGAATTTGATTTTTTATTCAGGCTTACCTAGCTAAGCAGGAGCGGTAGACGGCAGGGCAGCGCGCTGTATCCGGCGCAGCGGTGCGGCGGACGCTAGTAGCTGGTGCACACTGCCTGTTGAAGAAGAATGGTCGTCGCCTCGTGACCCTCGTCGGCAGTGCTGAACTGCTGAAGAAGAAGATACATAGTAGTGACTATGGAGTACGATTTTGCTGCTGTGAGAAAGCCTACAGGCGACGAGAAGATACGAGTCCTATTACCGGCCCAATTGTCCAAAGCCCCAAAATTTTCAAACAACGGAGGAGATCGGAGAAGAACGCAGCACGGCACAGCACCGCCCCTCAGCCTCTGCACTCCGCCACTCCCTCCTTCGGAGATTCGGCCCTTCTCAATTTTCACCTTCGGACCTTCCGTATTTCTCCATACTCCAGTCCTTTTCTATTGATTAGTAAAATTAGTTCATTAATTGATTTAATTCTTTATAAATATTTATTATAAAGAGATAATATTTTAACATAATAATAAATATTTATTTTTAAAATTTGAATATACACTTTATTTTTGGTGTTTTTTGAATTTTTTTTATGTATTTAACGTCAATAAGGGTAAATTTGCTTCTTTATAAGAACATGAGGGGTATTTTTGCACTTTTTAAAAGTTTAGGGGCATATATACACTTCAACATATAATTGAGGGGTATATTTGACTATTTGTTCGAAAAAATAATACAGGGTATATTTGTTCTCACACCCATACACAGGGGTATATTTGTACATTTTCCCTTAAATTTAATGAATTATAATTTGTGTCTGTGATTCTACTTTACTTAGTTTAATGAATTCTATGTAGTATATTTTTATTATTATTAAGGTCTTCGATGATTATTATTATTATTATTATTATTATTATTATTATTATTATTATTATTATTATTATTATTATTATAAATGTTACTTTAGACATAAAAGGGTTTTCCAATTTTTGTCAGGATTAAACCTATTTTTAATTACCCGCCTCTAGGCTTTCAAACATACAGGAGTACATGACCAGTTCTGTTCCCAAGTTGTGGTTCTCTCTGTTCTCTTGATTTGGCTTAGGTATGGTTTGATCGACTTTCATACTTCTATGTAAGGGTAAAATTCATTTTTCTTTGTGTATATATATGCATCATGCATGTATGTCGATGATACATGAGATGTACCTACTACCTAGATCATATTATTTTAAAAATATATTTATTTCACTTTTTAGTTTCCTGGTTTTCTAGAAAACTAGTAAATTAATCCGTTGTAACCCAAGTTTGATTGAAAAACACTGAGTTGATTAGGAAGCCAAAACTCTTATTGAGTAACCTACTCGCAATTCTCTCCCCACACCGTTTCTTTCGTTTTCCTTCACACTTTCATTCTGCATCATTTTGAAATTATGCATTGATAGGATTCTTGGGTGACCGTTGTCAAGGCTACTCAGCGAAGGAAAATCGTCTTTGGGTAAGTTTGAATCTTTTTCCCTCAATTTGTTTAAAATTTATTTGTCAAAGATGTATCCTTGAATTATGGAAACTCAAACAGCATCTTTAGATTCGTGGTACAACTCAGTTTGTGGATTACACATCAGAGATCACCACTTAGGAGATCAGTGAGAAGACGGATGTGTAAGATATGGATTTGATTTATTATCATTATCCCCCGTGTTATTACAGTAAGAAAATCTAATAAACCTCCTAAAAGAGCTCTTCATATTCATGAAAGGATGGTGTATGTATTTTTATTAATGCTTAAACAGTGTTGCTTCTGCGCTGGGAAAGGTTTTGATGACCGGAGGTTATCTAATCCTTGAGAGGCCCAATCCAGGGATTGTCCTGAGTACAAATGCTCGCTTTTATGCCATTGTGAAGCCACTTTATGAGGAGGTCAAACCCAATAGTTGGGCATGGGTGAGTCATTACAAATGTTGAATATCCACTCAGTTGAAGCGTTATTATCAATGGAAATTACCATATGACATGTATACATTCCACAAATAGCATCATATTTTCACCATTCTTTCTTTAGGAGTAGTATTTGTGAAAGAAAAAGGGTCAAGCAAGGTAGTTTACTCGCTACTCGGTAGTAACTCGGTCAAGGGCCGAGTAGTGAGTAGGACCGCTTACTCGGGATTACTCGGTGATTACTCGGTCTTGTATTAATTAAATTTAATAATATAGGCTAGTTGCCAGATATTTAGAATTATAATAGTCTTAAAATAGTCTTAAAGTTGTTTTAAAAAGCAAAGAAATGAATAAAAAGATACAAATCCTACTATTATCCTAATGATGGAGTAGCAAAAGTCATAAATATTCTAAGTTTTCAAATTTTAAATTTCATAAGTGATCAAAATTTAATGTCTATTGTTGAAATTGAATTTATAGGGAGTACGAGGGCATTAGTCCAACATAAAGTAGGATGTCTACTAAACTACTTATATTATTCTAAAGTATTTATCAGCTTAGTCTAAGAAGTCATGCATTGAATACTAGTAGTATAAAGCAGGATGTCTACTAGACTACTTATCCAAGAATGAAAGCTTACCGAATACATGAACCAAAACTATCCAAGAAGGCAATAACATACACCACTAAGAAAGGGGGGAAGAAGAAGAAAGCAGAGATGAAGAGGTGAAGATACGAGAGAAAAAAGAGTTACTAGCCGATATCACAATCTCAACTTGAAGGAATAGCGGATGTCGTGCAAGTCCAAGAGAGCCGATGTTGCAGTCAGAGACTTGGAACTCCGTTAAATTTAGGCTTTAATTTAGGATTTCTAACCGTAGTGCTTCAATTTTAAAAACCCCGAGTAATACCGAGTACTCGCCGATTTTCGATGTCGACCGAGTAGCAAACCTCGCCGAGTACTCGGCGAGTAACTCGGAAAATTAACTCGGACCGAGTTAAGTTGCTCATCGGCAAGGTAAGGACCCGAGTTGCGAGTACTCACCGAGTACTCGCCGAGTACTCACCGAGTAGATAACCCAGGGGTCGAGTAGATCTTTCTACCTGGTTTGGCGATTCCACAAATAGCATCATATATTGTTCCTACCTAAGGCGATTTCTCTTTTATCAATGGTTTGGTGGCCTGATTGGTTGTCTTTCAAGATTATTTTGTCGTAAGCAATAATCAGGATCTTCAATGAACAAGTTTAAGGCTTGAACCCTTTAATTGGGGTTTAGAATTGTTTAACAGTGTATATTACTATATTTTGTAACCTTGGCGGCATGTGATTTGCAGGCATGGACAGATGTGAAATTAACTTCTCCTCAGATGTCAAGAGAAACTCTCTACAAACTGTCACTTAAACATTTCAAACTCTAGCCTTCATCTACACGGCAAGTTTGCTACCTTTCACTGAGTTCATGTCATTTGATCTCTCCCTATTTTCATTATATATTGTTTGATCCATGAATAATTAGAAATGTATTGGTATTGGTCACTTTCTGTTGATGGATGCACAACAGCGATTCAAGAAATCCCTTTGTGGAAAATGCAGTGGAGTATGCCATTGCAGCAGCACATGCAATCTAACACCCACCCCGGCCGGTCTGGTCGGTTCAGAACAGATGTCACTATCGTTTATCATTTAGCAAAACTTTCCATTTTAACTAGAAAAATTGAGTAAAACATTGAAAACAATGAATAAACATGTCACCGGAAAATTTAATTGTCAATACGAATAAAACTCACTTTACTGGAATAACATCCTTATTTTTATAAGGTTGTTGGTTGTACCAACTAAAAATATGAAAATAAAATAAAACATATGCACTGCAATCCACTCCAGATGTCTCTTTGTCCCCGGGCTCCAGCTTGATTCTCGTATTTACCCACGTGTAGAAAAACTACACGCTCAGCAATTGAATTGCTAAGAGGTACTATAATATAACATGTAGTAATGATTTATATGAGCAAGTAGTTATCACTTCAATGTAAGAAATTTGTACGGATAAATAAATAACAGAGATGTATCAAGTTCAACAACAACTTTTATATTAACTTTACCTCGATCTCATCTTAATTCAAAATACTTTAGCTTTCTCATGTACTTATAACGTGGTGGAAATTAAAATAATTCCACATATAAAAAGCTGTATAGCAGAAATCATATATCCAATGAGAAATACATCTTCAGTTTTCTTTTAGAAATAGTTGATAATGTAATTTTCATCGTGTTCTTTTAGTCTTGTATTTAAGCCTTTACTCCAAGAACCAGACTCTAGCTAAGGGCACAAATAAAATAACCAACTGTAATTTCGTGGACCCTGACCTGGGGTCATATGCTAGGCTGCTAGCATACCGTGGAGAACGAATCGTTGAAACAACCCGAACTCAGCGTGGAGTCGTAGTCAGTGTAACTAACTAGCGACCCAAAAACGTGGGAAACAGGACTACCCAAACCGGAGTTTAAATAATCCTGAGACCAAAACTGTAAACTGTGGTACCCAAAAACCAGAATTTCTAATCCTAGAGTAAAGTCCTTTAATCAAAAATACATTGATCTTTTAGACATACTTAACCCATATAACTGTGAGTAACTGTAAGTGCCCGTAATTTCAACATTTCAAAGTAATCATCTTCATTGTATGGAATTTCCCTTCGTAAACACACATGCTTATAAATAACCTCATACACACAAGTATTGATACGTATATGCTGTACTTATAAATCATACAAATAGATTATATTCATCTTTCTATAAACCAACTCATACATGTATATATTATAATGCAATGTCACGTATCATTTGGAAATCACAATGAAGTAATAACTGTTGGATATTTATATATATATCAACAAAATTCCGTATGCAATATATATATAATAGCTAAATCCATATAAATCCATGAAATCAAATATGTATGAAAATAATACTAACCTTGAGACCCCATGTGTGGTTGAAGCAAACTAAGAAAAACCAGAGAAAATCCAAAGAGCAATGAATCGGCTGCCTTCCAGTGCTATGTAACTTTTTTTCTTATGAGATGGCTTTTAACCTTATAATTGATGGGATATTATAGGGCTAGCTCAACATAGTAACGGTCGGCCTTGATGACTCTCCATTATATTATTCCATCATTATTGACATGATTAGAATGATTTATTAGTCTATTTTCCGTTACTATGTCGTTACAATTATCTCTTTATTTACATGCACCGGGGGTCATAACCGTTGTATAACTTTAGTATAATATATTTAATTTGACCCGTCACCAAAAGAAATATATTATCCTGGTATCTACACTTTTATTATTTCATGAATAGCCACTGTATTATTTATCTGATGGTAAACACATTTTAATTAATTACATATTAGGCCCCTTTTATTGTTTCCAACAATCTCCCACTGGGCCTTATATGTAATTCTTTAGCAAAATGTGTTAACTTTATGAGCTCAAAAATACCATCATATAAAATAACATCCTTAAACAATCTTGTCCATTAGGCATACTAATATAGAACCATTGCAGCATTTTGTCATGTTAAACATAACTATACCATCAGTGATCACTGGTATCAATATTACATAATGACATAGATCAATCATGAAATGTGTAGCATGAAAACTACATGAAATGTGGCATGTACATGTAAATTTTCAACTGACCCTTCTTTAAAAAACTTTAAACTTTAATAACTTAATTGTTCAGAATACACTAAATGTCAAACTTTATTCTGATCAGAAAAAAAAAAATTCATAAAGCAATAGAACATCAAGCATAACTTATAAACTCCCACTAAACTTGAGGTTCCTTAAAATCAATGACTCCCAAGTGAGCAGTATGCTCATGAAAAACTTTTGGTGGGAGACCCTTGGTTAAAGGATCCGCTAGCATGGAGTTTGTACTTATATGTTCAATAGCGACTCTTTTATTCTGAACCCTTTCTTTAATAGCTCGATATTTCACTTCAATGTGTTTTGTCTTGCTCGAGCTCTTGTTGTTGTTAGAGTAAAGCACCGTAGAATTGTTGTCACAAAATATCTTGATAGGCTTTGAAACATCATTTAATATTTTCAGCCCATCAATAAAATTGCGCATCCATATTCCATGGTTTGAAGCTTCAAAACAGGCCAACAACTCTGCCTCCATAGTTGAGGTAGCTATCATATCTTGCTTAACACTTTTCCAAGATACAGCACCACACGCTAGTAGATAAACATAGCCTGATGTAGATCTACTACTGTCTTTGCAGCCGGCAAAATCAGAGTCGGAGTATCCAACGACCTCCAAATGATCTGATTTTCTATATGTAAGCATATAGTCCCTTGTTCTCTTTAAGTATCTCATAACTCTTTTGGCCGCCACCCAATGAGCCATTCCTGGATTACTGAGATATCTGCCTAGCATCCCAACAATGTACGCAATATCCGGACGCGTACAAACTTGGGCATACATAAGACTTCCTACAACAGATGCGTAGGGAATCTTTTTCATTTCTTGAATTTCCAGATTTGTTTTAGGGCACTGATCGAGACTAAACTTGTCTCCTTTAGAGATAGGGGTATCACACGGTCTACAATCTTCCATGCCAAATCTTTTAGGGACCTTATCGACATAGTTCCTTTGTGATAACCTTAAGATTCCTTGTGATCTCTCACAAAGGATTTCAATTCCTAATACAAAGGAGGCCTCACCAAGATCTTTCATTTCAAAATGTTTTGATAGAAATCTCTTGGTTTCATGCAACATGCCTATGTCATTAGTGGCAAGAAGAATGTCATCAACATATAAGACCATGAAAAATATTTTACTCCCACTGAACTTATGATATACACAATCATCTACATCATTCATCTTAAAACCGAAGGATAAAATGACTTGATGAAATTTGTGATACCATTGACGAGAAGCCTGTTTTAGCCCATAGATGGATTTTGTTAATTTGCAAACCATTTGTTTTGGATCTCCAATCACAAAATTTTCTGGTTGCACCATATAAATAGTTCCATCTGATGAAGCTCTAAATTAAAATGTGCAACTAAAGCCATAATGATTCTAAAAGAGTCCTTTGATGAAACCGGAGAAAAGGTCTCTTTATAATCAATTCCTTCTTTTTGAGTATAACCTTTAGCTACAAGACGAGCTTTATATCTCTCCACATTACCCTTTGAATCCCTTTTGGTTTTAAATATCCATTTACAACCAATGGGTTTACAACCTTCGGGTAATGGGACGAGTTCCCAAACTTTATTGTCTTGCATAGATTTATACTCCTCATTCATTGCCACAATCCACTTTTGAGAATTTGAACTTTTCATGGCTTGACGGAAGTTGATCGGATCATCTTCCATAACACCACTTTCTTCCTCATGTTCTTGAATAAACACAAGGACATCGTTCTCTGTATCCATGCTTGACGTATGTTCTTGGAGATATACAACATAATCATCCGGAATTGCATATCTCCTCTCTCTAGTGGATCGCCGCAATGACACATTTTCTTGTTGCACTTGTTCCAGAGGAAGTTGAGTTTGTTCATTTTGAACAATTTGTTCAGTTTGGAAAGGAGAAGATGAAATAATGCCTTGTTGAGGTTCCTCATTAGTTTCAAAAGAAACATCCGTATGAATTGGTTCAGGTATTGAAATCAATTCTTCCTCAAAGACAACATCCCTAACTTTATTCTTCCCCCCAAACTCAACATCCTCGAAAAATATGGCAGTTCCCGTCTCAAAAATATTTTTATCCTCGGGATTATAAAATTTATATCCCCTAGATCGCTCCGAGTAACCAATAAAGTAACTACTAATTGTTTTGGGTTCCAGTTTCTTTTCATGTGGCCTATACGGCTTTGCCTCAGCTGGACAACCCCAAATATGAAAATGCTTTAAACTAGGTTTTTTACCTGTCCAAAGCTCATATGGTGTTTTAGTAGTTGCTTTAGTTGGCACTCGATTAAGAATATAAGCTGCTGTCTTTAGTGCCTCACCCCAGAGGGATTCCGGTAAGATAGAATGAGAAATCATACTTCTTACCATTTCTTTAAGGGTTCTATTACGTCTCTCAGCTACACCATTCATGCTAGGTGAACCCGGCATGGTGTATTGAGGGACAATCCCACATTCCTCTAGAAATTTGGCAAAAGGCCCTGGACGTCGTTCACCTGAGCCGTCATACCTCCCATAGTATTCACCACCACGGTCGGATTTGACTTTCTTTATGCGTTTGTTGAGTTGATTCTCAACTTCCACTTTGTAAGACTTAAACACGTCCAAGACTTGAGATTTTTCATGTATAAGAAATAAGTATGCATATCTAGAGTAATCATCTATGAATGACACAAAATATTGTTGACCATTCCATGAAGGAGTAGGAAATGGCCCATAAATATCCGTGTGTATTAATTCTAAGACATCTGTAGCTCTATATGCACCTTTTTTCTTATTTTTGGTTTGTTTCCCTTTAATGCACTCAATACAAGTATTGAAATCAGAAAAATCAATGGAATCTAGTGTTCCATCGGCTACAAGACGTTCAACTCTATTTTTAGAGATGTGACCTAGTCGTTTGTGCCATAAAAAAACAGATTGTGCATTATCAACCTTTCGCTTAGTGCCTCGGGTGTCAACATTTAAAGCATTATTATATGAAGTTATTGTTTCAAGCATGTAAAGATTGTCATATGACATAAAAGAACCAGTCCCCACAATATTTGAATTCAAAGACAAATTAAACCGGAAGTTTCCAAAGGAACAATGATAACCTAATTTGTCCAAATAAGAAACAGAAACCAAATTCCGCCTAAATGACGGAACAATAAAAGTGTCTTTTAAATCCAAATAGAAACCGGTAGATAATAACAATCTAAAATGCCCAATAGCCTCCACATGCACTGCTTTGCCATCTCCCACATAGACGCATCTTTCAGCATCATTTGGCTTGCGGTGGCTCAGACAACCCTGCATAGAAATACTGATGTTAGATGTTGAACCGGAGTCTAACCACCAAGTATTTCTAGGCACCGAAGCTAAATTGTTTTCAGTACAAACCAAAGCAAGGACCGTACCTTTCTTCACTTTCCATGCGTGATACTTGGTACAATCCTTCTTCATGTGTCCAGACTTCTTACAGAAGAAACAGGTTGTTTCACCTTCCTTATGTTTCATCTGTACTGGACCCTTAGCAGCTTCATTCTTAATGAGAGTTTTCTTCCTCTTTTTACCCTTATCCTTAGAGGTACTAGCCAAGTGAGCACTTTCTGTCTTATTTTGTTTCATCCTCTCTTCCTCTTGCACGCAATATGAAATGAGCTCATTAAGAGACCACTTCTCCTTTTGGCAGTTATAACTAACCTTAAAAGGATCAAATGCAATAGGAAGAGAGTTCAAGACTATGTGTACGAGAACATCTTCCGATATCTCAATCTTAAGTGTCTTGAGCCTAGAAACAATATAAGACATTTCCATAATATACTCCCTTATATTTCCTTTTCCTGAATACCTTTTGGAAGTAAAGTCTTTTAACAACATGCTTATTTCCGCTTTATCGCTTTTAACAAAACGTTTCTCAATTTCAGTAAGGAAATCCTTGGCATTAGTAACCTCATCAGATACTGCACCCCTAAAAGATTCTGGAATGCCACGCTTTATGATCATAAGACTTAAGCGATTCGAGCGATCCCACTTCTCATAGTACATTTTTTCATCTTGGGTACTAGCATTCGTAAGAGAAGCGGGTTGCTCTACCCTTAATGCTAAGTCAAGATCCATGCAGCCCAAAGTTATTAGAATATTTTCTTTCCATTCCTTAAAGTTAGTACCATTTAGGACAGGGATGGAGTTGAGATTGGCAGATATGCTTGAAAAATTAACTGTAGAAAGAACAAGGAAAATGAACATATGCTTTAGTGAAATTGTAAAATAATTTTTAACCCATCACAAGATACCAAATGCACCATTAGTATTTCATCTTTGGACAATAATACTAATTGCTAGTGGTACTCTTGTTGTAACAATAAAATATAACAATAATACATATAAAAGAAAAATCCACCTTTGGGTTGACTTTTTCTTTTAAAGTGCAACCTTATAATTGTTATATATTTATTATTACCAAATGTATATATATATAACTTGATAAAATATTAATCTTCCTTTGGGCCGATTAATATTTACTTGAACTATATACGGAGTATATACTATGTTTAATATTTTTATATGAGCAACTTACGCAATAAGGTCACTTTGGTGACATATTGTTTCTATATACTCATTTAAATATTAAACTCCTTTTATTTTACAATTTCATCACAGTCCCAAAAAAAAAATCCTTTCGTAATTCTACTTAAAAATTGCTTTCGGCAATTGTCTTTACACTTCAATGCAACAGAATCATGCCATATGTTACATTTGAGCTTTAAACAAAAAAAAAACGGTTGCCATAACTTAGCCGTTTTCACTTGGTGGCTTGAAGAAAAATTTAATTATTCTTTAACACCAAATTTACATATATGCTAAAAAAACATACGGAGCATCAATTCAGCTTTAAAAATTGACGCCGTGATTCATCATATAGCATCATGTATACGTGTAAGCAATTAAGCATGTACGCTCATAGGATTAAATTACACTTCAACATTTAAATGGCATAAATGGTTCTCATATTGCTAGAAAAATTCCACTTTGTAGAAGCTTGAAATGGATCACATATTAATAATCCATATATTTATATATGTAAAACTTGACTAGCTAACGATTCCACTATGTGAAATAAGGATTTAAGTGGCACAAATATAAATCATACGTAGTATATACGTAAACTAGTGATGCCATAAGCATTCATTATTATTATATTACTATAATCATATTAATAATGCAGATGCATAATGCCATGTGCGATCAAATAGATTTAGAGCATGTACTGAACTATCAATATAAACTTGAGACACGAATCGGTGTGAATAAACACGCAGCGAAAGAAAAAAAAACAACGATTCATGTCAAATAAGCATTTACAAGCATATGAGACGTTTCTTTTCTCAACAAACCAAAGCATATCAAACGGTTTCTTTCCAAAATACATTACTCGTCTACTCGAGACTCAACAAAAAAAAAACTTTCGAACATCAACTTTCAAAATCCAGACTTTCCAGAAAAGCAATGAACTCGGGAAAAAAATTCCATGGATCTATAATGGTAGTCTCTGATACCAATTGTTGGATATTTATATATATATCAACAAAATTCCGTATGCAATATATATAATAGCTAAATCCATATAAATCCATGAAATCAAATATGTATGAAAATAATACTAACCTTGAGACCCCATGTGTGGTTGAAGCAAACTAAGAAAAACCAGAGAAAATCCAAAGAGCAATGAATCGGCTGCCTTCCAGTGCTATGTAACTTTTTTTCTTATGAGATGGCTTTTAACCTTATAATTGATGGGATATTATAGGGCTAGCTCAACATAGTAACGGTCGGCCTTGATGACTCTCCATTATATTATTCCATCATTATTGACATGATTAGAATGATTTATTAGTCTATTTTCCGTGACTATGTCGTTACAATTATCTCTTTATTTACATGCACCGGGGGTCATAACCGTTGTATAACTTTAGTATAATATATTTAATTTGACCCGTCACCAAAAGAAATATATTATCCTGGTATCTACACTTTTATTATTTCATGAATAGCCACTGCATTATTTATCTGATGGTAAACACATTTTAATTAATTACATATTAGGCCCCTTTTATTGTTTCCAACAATAACAACATTTATATAAAGTTTAAATTCCATATTACGTATAATTTGACATGCATGCATGGTATCAATATATAACTACATTCTTTCCAACATTAAACCATCCAACTAACAGTACTTCATTGTCTTTATATATTATTCATGAAAACGGATGTTCTAATTTAACTGAAATCGTATTTCGAGTTTAGCAATTTTTTTAAGTAACTGAAGATGAAATTAATGCAAAAGCACATGTCTATACTATAAACATCTCTTCTTTTAAAAATAAAAAAATAATTACATAAAATACATGTCGTATTATAGTACAGACCTGATCAAATATGATTGGAGCTAGGATAAATAAATTTCCTCGTTCGTTTCACCTTCTTCTCCTGCCTCACCATCCCCCTTTTCTACCATTTTGCTTGGTCCTCTAGCTTCCTAGTTTCCCAATAATTTATACTATCCTCCGTTCTCTTTTAATCGCAACATTGGACTTTTTGCACTATTCACATATTCTACTTTGACTATTTTTTATTCATTAATGTATTATAAATTAATTTTTAAAAAAATATTATTAAATTCTTCTCATTCTAAATTTTTAAAATATGAATTTTTTGAATTTTTACTAATAAGGAATGAAAGATATTATTGGTCAAACTTGTGCGTTGGCAAACGTGAAATGTTGACTGTTGCAATTAAAAGGGAACGGAGGAAGTAGCTTATACGATATTAGCTTATTTACTTACACTCAACAGGACGACACTCCCTTCTCATTAATACCTTATTCGTATTAATAGAGTTCATGATGTCACTGTTAATATAATTCATTTGGTTTGTCTATTCCCTTCTATGAGTGGCCGAGTGTAATGCATGTAAGACGATGAGTGTCCAGGAAACTTTGTTTCTTTTTGCATGTTAGATTGTCTATTGATGCATGGTCTTGCCACATGTTTAATATATATTTCTAATTTAATTATAATTTTTGTTTTGTTCTCAAGTTTTGGCCTAGTGTCTCTGTAGCATTCAATGGTTTGCTGGCTAATACACGTGTCTACTACACTTGAACACTTGTGCAAAGTGTTATCCTTGTTAGTGCATGTATTCGAGCCTTTAGTTTTCCATTTACTTTAATTTTATTTAATTATGATCTACTTATTTACTATAAATTATACATATAGTAGACTTAGTATAGTTGGATGATGTCTTCTATCATTTGACCTTAATATCCTAAAAAAAAATCCCCAAAAGAACAAACGAACTATATATACCCAGTGTAATTAAACTTTATACTTTTGAGCTTGTTGACTTTTCTTTTAACATAACTGTACTTATATAATAATAATAATAATAATAATAATAATAATAATAATAATAATAATAATAATAATAATAATAATAATAATAATAATAATAGTACTGATCGAGCTTATTATTATCCTTGCTATTTTAAACCGCACTTTATCCGGTATTAGATTATAATTTGAAACAATTTCTGTTGAACTCATTAAATTTACATCATAATGGCTAGTACAGATTTTAGGGTGTTACAATTATCTCCCCCCTAAATAAACCCCTAAATTTTTACTTGAAGGTCACAAGTATGTAAAATTCATTGCCCACATATATATGTACCTTTCTAAACGTTAATAAAATAGTGATAAAATTTCTTGCTTTTTCTTTCTTTCTAATAATAAGGACCATATAGCTAACGAACAAAAATTACTACATTTCAAAATGTACTTCGTATAATATATTCTTAGTACAAAAATGTTATTCAATACGTAGTACTCCGTAATATACGAAGAAAATTACATCACATACTGTTCATGACTTAATATTATCATTATATATATTTTTAATACGTGAACATCTTTTAAAAAATCAAATTCTATTATATTCTTTAAATTAAGAGGATAGTGCTTAAGGATAATAGTAGCAGGCAATAGTACTAACCTGTGAAGTATGATAGTCATACTTTTTCGAAATAGCTTTCTTACCGGTCGTACGTACGTCATTACGTGGGAGTTCTTATAAATAGTTACGGAGTACATACTACTAACAAGTAGTTTTTTTGTGACAACTCCGGTACCCATTTAAAAAATGGGGTACCGTACTTACCATGCATTTGATTGGTCCAAATCATTATATGTTTTTTAATTTAGATTTAAATAATTCAACTGCATCATTCTTATTGGTCCATTTGGACAAAGGTATGGAGCCCGTTTGGAGAACTCTGTTTTCGGCTTATCAGGCTTATCAGCCAGCTTTTTCACCAAACACGTAACTTTTACTTTCGCGCGCTGAATTGTGTAATAAGCCGAAAAAGTAAGGTTGGAGTTACCTTTCTGGCTGTATTGGCTGAAGTTACTGTAGAGAACCATTTTAGCTATTTTTACATATAATTTTTTCTTTAATTTATTAATAAAATATATTTTTAAAATATTTTTTTCTTAAATCAGCAGAATCAGCCAAAACAGCCACTCCAGCCAGAATATCATAAATTTCAGCAGAATCAGCCAAAACAGCCGATTTTGGTGCTACCAAACGGGCTCATGGTAGATTTGGGGTACCATAGAATCTACCTTTTTTTTTCCTTCCACTTTTCTTTTTCATTTGCAAATCGATCTTTGATTCGCTTAGCTTTTATCGTGAAAACATGTTTATGTAATCATATTTAGGTGATATGCCTATACTCCCTCAGCTCCGTCCCATTTATTTTGTCCCGTTTTACCTTTTCGGGAAGTCCCACTTATATTGTCCCATACCATATTTGACAAAGTTTGTGTGGCTCTAAATCATTCTTACTTTATTCTTACTTTATCAATTAATATCAACCACACAAACCCACTTTTCTTAATAACCGTGCCACTCTCTTTCGGGACAATATAAATGGGACGGAGGGAGTATACGATAGTATATACTTCTCCGTTCCTTTTTAATTGCAACAGTCAACATTTCACGTTTGCCGACGCACATGTTTGACCATTAATATCTTTCATTCCTTATTAGTAAAAAATTTGAAAAATTCATATTTTGAAAGTTTAGAATGAGAAGAATTTAACAATATTTTTAAAAAATTTAATTTATAATACATTGTTTAATAAAATATAGTCAAAATAGAATATGTGAATAGTGTAAAAAATCCAATGTTGCGGTTAAAAGAGAACAGAGGTAGTACTATCATTGTTTTTGTAAGCTAAGTACTTTTTTTATACCCCTTTTTTCTTAAGTCTATTACTCTTTCAACATTGGGAGAAGTTAATTATCATATGGGATATATAATTCTATATGACTACACATTGTCGATCACTTATTTATTCATCTAATTAACTAACTATTCATAAATAAGTGGATAACAGGCCTCGCTTTCATTTTTTTCACTTATATTTAGATTAAAAGTCTGAGTCAGCCCACCAGATAACCATGGACAGACCCTTATTCCCTTTTTGAGTCCAAACATCTCAGTGTCCTACTCCTACAATACTTGACTCCTTTCCGTATATACAAACTAATTAAATATGTCACGTACCACTCTTAAACTTATTTGCTACATTTTGTTTGTTTTCTTGTTCTTTGTACTGTGTAGAATTATACGAAGTATATAGATATGAGCAAAATTGAAGTCTAACATCATCCTAAATTCATTAAATTAAATAATGCATAATATGCATCATGCATGGTATGTAGTCACGTGCATCACTTACTCATAACAAGAAGGTGTAAGGACTGCCACACACTTATCACATGTGGCTTATATATAGGCCAGGGAACTATTAATATAAGTACACATTTTAGCTTAGTGGATGTTATCACTACATGTGGATTTTATTAATTCAATTTTAGCTTAGTGGATAATTCTACTATTTATTTGCACATACAGCCATTAGAAAACCATTACTACGTATACTATATTATGAGTATTTATAACTTAGGGTATGTTTGGCACAACTAGCTAAAAAGATACTTTTACGAGCTTTTTAGTAACTGTTAGCTTTTAGTGACTGAAAAGATCTTAAAAAGAAAAGGTGATAGCTGTTTGGTAAAAAGCTGACTGTATGTTTGATTTAGTTCGGTTTGGTATACAAGTTGTTAGGACTAATTAAAACTAAAAGTCACGAGCTTTTCTCAAATGCTACACCTGGTAGCATCTCAAAAAAGATCTTTTAATTTTTGAAAAGCTCTTAAAAAATGTCATGCCAAACATACAAGTATACAACTAGAGTCTTTTAAGGTCTTTTTAAAGAATAGAAAAGCTAGAAGCTACTGTCTTTTGTGTGCCAAACATAACCTTAATCCAACTACGTGATTGGAATTCTAAAATGGTTCTCATGTGTAAATAATAGTTTCTCCTTGAAGAAATTCATTCACGAACTACTCCGTATATCTCAAAGTTAATGATAATTGATAAGTAAGTTTTTACACTGCCAACCTGGAGATTAAACCGCCCGGACCGAGACATCTGGAATTCAATGCAACTCATGTGGTAAACACCATAACCCAAGGCTAAGAACCACTTTTAGAAAACTTGGCTCTGATACCAAAATATAACACCCACCCCGGCCAGTCTGGTCGGTTCGTGACAGATGTCACTATCGTTTATCGTTTAGCAAAGCTTTCCATTTTAACTAGAAAAATTGAGTAAAACATTGAAAACAATGAATAAACATGTCACCAGAAAATTTAATTGTCAATACGAATAAAACTCACTTTACTCGAGTAACATCCTTATTTTTAAAAGGTTGTTGGTTGTACCAACTAAAAATATGAAAATAAAATAAAACATATTCACTGCAATCCACTCCAGATGTCTCTTTGTCCCCGGGCTCCAGCTTGATTCTCGTATTTACCTACGTGTAGAAAAACTACACGCTCAGCAATTGAATTGCTAAGTGATACTATAATATAACATGTAGTAATGATTTATATGAGCAAGTAGTTATCACTTCAATGTAAGAAATTTGTACGGATAAATAAATAATAGAGATGTATCAAGTTCAACAACAACTTTCATATTAACTTTACCTCGATCTCATCTTAATTCAAAATACTTCCTAGCTTTCTCATGTACTTATAACGTGGTGGAAATTAAAATAATTCCACATATAAAAAGCTGTATAGCAGAAATCATATATCCAATGAGAAATACATCTTCAGTTTTCTTTTAGAAATAGTTGATAATGTAATTTTCATCGTGTTCTTTTAGTCTTGTATTTAAGCCTTTACTCCAAGAATCAGACTCTAGCTAAGGGTACAAATAAAATAACCAACTGTAATTTCGTGGACCCTGGCCTGGGGTCATATGCTAGCATACCGTGGAGAACGAATCGTTGAAACAACCCGAACTCAGCGTGGAGTCGTAGTCAGTGTAACCAACTAGCGACCCAAAAACGTGGGAAACAGGACTACCCAAACCGGAGTTTAAATAATCCTGAGACCAAAACTGTAAACTGTGGTACCCAAAAACCAGAATTTCTAATCCTAGAGTAAAGTCCTTTAATCAAAAATACATTAATCTTTTAGACATACTTAACACATATAATTGTGAGTAACTGTAAGTGCCCGTAATTTCAACATTTCAAAGTAATCATCTTTATTGTATGGAATTTCCCTTCGTAAACACACATGCTTATAAATAACCTCATACACACAAGTATTGATACGTATATGTTGTACTTATAAATCATACAAATAGATTATATTCATCTTTCTATAAACCAACTCATACATATATACATTATAATGCAATGTCACGTATCATTTGGAAATCACAATGAAGTAATAACAACATTTATATAAAGTTTAAATAAATTCCAAATTACGTATAATTTGACATGCATGCATGGTATCAATATATAACTACATAACTACATTCTTTCCAACATTAAACAATTCACTTGTTCATCTCATTTAAGTTTTGTTTTGTTTTTTTTTTTTTTATACTTTCAACATTCTTACTCATATTGTTTTTTTATACGTAATTACATGTAATGTTTTGAGTCCCACACTAGACCAAACTTAAGCAGACCAGATCAGTTCAGATCAAATTTATTTAGTTATAAAATACACGTAGACCAAACATTACCAGACCAGTTCAGACCAGACGTTATCAGACCAGTTCAGATCACACTAGACAAGAATTAAATAGACCAAACCATATCAGTAAATTTCAGTCCAAGTAAAAACGTCCTAAGACACCAAATTCTTATAATCTGCACCATCCATGTGAAATAATAATAGTGGAGAATAATGGCTTACCGTAGTGGTAGCCCTTGTGGTGTATATATATTAATCAAGAGATAAATAATTACACAAAAATAATAGCTAAAGTGATGCTACATATACTAATACATAAAGTGAGATGAGGGAGGTTCACAATACTATTGCAAGTATAATTTTTTTTTTGAGCGTTGCAAGTATAATTTGGAGTAGTGATCGTTAATATATGAGAACGAACTTGGAATTGTATCACCAAACTCTAGCTATTTCGTATTTAAATATTACTACCTCCGTCCCTTTTATATTGGGACAGAAGAAAGTGACACGAGTTTTAAGAAAATTGGATTAGTGTGGTTGATATTAATTGATAAAGAATAAAGTAAAAATGATTTTGAGCCACACAAGCTTTACCAAATATGGTATGAGACAATTTAAGTGGGACTTCCCGAAAAGGTAAAACGGGACAATATAAATGGGACGGAGGGAGTAGTCTATTCCATGATGAACTACTTATTTTGGTTAAAATTGTGACATGATTGGATATAATGAATATTTTTCAGAACATCTATTTCAAATCAATTTGTATTTTTTGTGTATTAACATTATTTTATCAGTTAATAGTATTTGATGATATCCTTAATTATAATTTTATCATTTCAGCTACTTACAACAGCTAGTTTTACCAAACATGACTATTAAAAACAGGCAGATTTTATGAAACAACTACGGTCTTTTTCATCTACAAGCTTTTTAGCTCAAAATAGCTAATAGTTACTAAAACCATAAAAAAAAGATTTTTTCAGCTAGTCGGGCCAAACATAAAGCCCATTTGGTGACCCTGTTTTTTTACTTATCAGGCTCATCAACCAACTTTTTCACTAAACACGTAATTTTTGATTTCACGCGCTAAATTGTGTAATAATAAGAAAAAAGTAAGGTTGGGGTTATTTTTTGGATGTATTGGTTGAAGTTACTGTGGGGTACCATTTTAACTATTTTCATATATATATATTTCTTTATTTCATTAATAAAAAATATTTTAATTTTTAAATATAACTTTTTCCAGATCAGTGTGACCAAAAGACTCATGGCTTATGGTAAGAGTGACCGATTGTAATACTTACTAAGTAATAATAATGTTTTTAAAAATAGAAAGGATTCTCCTAATTAATACAAGTACTATGTAACTACGTAGAATTCTAGGTTTTTAACCTAGACGTTGGTTCTCGTTTCTTGCTGCAACTCAGCCGCCAATTGTAATCTCAAACTCGCAAAGGCCGAAAGGCGCGTTAAATAACAGAGAAAAATCCAATCCATCCAGCCATCCAGGTTTGCTAGTACGTCTTTTTAATTAAATTTCAGTTGCATAAGTTTTTACTCGTTGATTATAGTTTTTATCAATATTCTAAAAGCCGCTAGACGCTAGTCAGGAACTAGTCAAAGACATAGAAATTATAGCATTATAAATATTTTTGCATAAATATGATTAGTAAGTAGTAACGTTGTGTTTGCTTGTATATAAAAAATAATATAAAATATATACACATTAACATGAATGAATGAATGATAGATTCATAGATAGTCAGACTAAATAATATATTTTACCTACTAACTTAACTAAGTTTTGGTAAGGTTCTAGACTTCTAGTTGGTATTATTAATGTGATTTATTTCAGGTTTATCTAAAAGGTTAGATAAATAATCTTTTAATCAAGTTTATCCAAATCATTAATCATACCAATTTTATATTACTGTGAGTTCATTCATTCACACTTTTATATTATTTAGTCACACTAAATAATACGTACTCCGTATATTTTACATAATAACCCTGCTATGATTAATAATCTTTTAATCAGGTTTATCCAAATCCTCAATTTGTTAGAGAAACTTTATACACAATTTGTAGATTTACACTCAGTTTCTTAAATTCACGTTTAAACTTTATGTTTAAAATATAGATTTACTGGATTTCTTCTACCAGAGAAGGTTGTATATTCCAAATAGAAAAGAAAGATAAGAGCAACACTTCAGTCTGGGTTTTGTATTTTTTTCTTTTCCTATATCCTGTGCTTAGTTCCCAGCCCACAGCTTCATTATTCCTGCTTGAACATTTTAATTCCACGAGTAGTAAAATTCCATCATCTAAGGTTTTGGCTTCAAAATGCTTAAATAAAGCAAAACTCGCATGAAGAATATCAGATTCCTCTCCTACGTGTAGTTTCTACTATACACGTACAGGTGGGAGTGAACTTACATGTTATTAGCAGCTGAGCTCGAAATACTCATATAAGTGTGGCACCTTGATAAAGTCTCCCGGTAAGCTCTGTCTTAATAATCTTTAATTAGATAATTAAAATACAATAAACTCTTATTCTATATTTATTTAGTGTGACTGAAATAATATAACTAAGTTTTGATGAATGAATAATATAAAAGTTTCGTCCTCATTGGTATCAGAGCAAGGTTCTAGTTGTGGTTTGACGGCTTGTTTAGCCCTCATGATTAAGGGTAGCTTGTTAATGGTTTGTTTGACCCGTTTATACATCCCGATATTGTCTATCTCTGTTCGGGCTGAGGGGTGTGTTAAAGTTTTTGCCTCACACCGGAAAGTTATAAAACAATTATACACGTACTATATAAGGCTCTGAGCTAGCTAGTCCTCCTATCAGGTTGACGTTTTAGGATGGAACACCGGATCTTAACATGGTATCTTTACGAAAGCCCTTGGTTATCGGCAATTTCATCATCTACTTTGCAAGTTGAGCATTCTTATCCGCATGCTCCAACTTGAGGGGTATTAGATATTATATTATTACAATAATGGGCTTGTGTTAATTAGTAATTTGTCTTGCTTGTTAGTTGGGCCAGGGGTTTAATTACTAGCTTATCAAATTGTATATGTATACACATTGTACTGGCCGTATGGCGCACAAGGGAAATACACAGAAATTTACCCTAATTACTACTCTAATTTGATTAGAAGGGGCAGGGAGAGGGAGGGCTGGAGCAAACACCGTGGACGCCTAGAGCGATTGTTTTTTTAATCATCCTAGAGCGATTGTTAATAAACTGGGTTTTATTATTCAACTGGTTTTAATTATTCACCAAGTGATTGTGATTTGTAAATAATGAATGACAGAATGTGTGAATCGGTGATGGTGATGTGAATAATTGATATTGTGAATTTGTGCAGAGCCGCCCAATGAATTTGGAGGTCCTGTTCCGAACGTAAAATCGAGGCTCTATATTAATATTAAGAATTAGAAAGAAACTTAAACAAAATACTTATATTGAAATCAATTGAATATTCATCAAATAATGTAATAAAAATCATTTTATAGTTGATTTAAAGCTACACAACTCATCTCTCAATCAATTTGAATAAAACATGAGTAAGAATACCGACAAAAAAACTTTATTTTATTGATTAGTATTTGTTTATATTATTAGTTATTACTATGTAATATGTACTAATAAACTTTTAGAAAATTGGGGCCCCGGAAATCGGGAGACCCTGTTCTGTAGAACATGTTGAACATGCTGAACGCCGGCTCTGAATTTGTGATATGTTTCAGATTAAATTATACTTCTACTAGTTATTACTTACGTAGTATAATACTACCTCCGTCCTGTTGGAATGTTCCCGTTCGGTTTACGATGCTTGACTGACGATAAAGCAACTCGATCCCTGTTACAAAGCCTGGTCAAGAAAAGTTCAATTTGATAAAAATTTGATATATAAAGTAAAAGATTAGGAGTGACCTAAGTTGACCAATGAATAGTGAACGGAAACATTCCAACGGGACGGAGGGAGTACATATATTTTTTATTTTTCTGTAAACCCTACCATACATGGGAAAACTTAGTTTGTATTGTACTATCTCTATCCCATATTGATTTAAAAATTTGACATTTCTAGGTCAAATAATTTCATTTTATTTGCTTAATTAGAATGTCAATTTTTAAGTATATTCTAATTTTGGAGTTTTCAATTTTAAAGATAATTTAATGTAGTTTCTGAATATATAAATTTTGATTATTAAAAATTGATTTAATTATTGATATGTAAGTTTGACTTTTACTATTGGTTAATCAAAAAAATTTGACTGGTCCCTAGAAAGCTAGCTAACTCTGCCGCTATATGGAGAAATGGGTGAAGTTGGGAGGTGTTGCACTGGGTGCTCGGCTTATATCTCTGGCCCTATGTACTTTCACTTGCCTCTGCGTCGCACTGGACCCCTTTGTCCTCAGCAAATCCAGGAATGCATTTGAAACGCTTCGAACATATCTTCAGATTTTACATGTTATAATCTCTCTTATTGTCATCTTCTTAGAATCAAGGTTCTTCTCTGCAATATTTCCAGAGGAGTTTATGTCCCTTGTGGCATCTGCACTGCTTATCCACAGATATTTTTACGACAATCTTTGGGAAGGCGTGGAGAAGACCCATTTTTCTTTGTGTTCTTTTACTCTCGGAGTGCAATTCGTTTTCCTTGTAAAGGCTTGTTGTCTTTTCTATCACGTGGTTTGCTTACTTGAAAAGAATGCAGAGGGGCAACTAGGGTTTGTGAGCAAAAAACAATCAACAAAGGCAGAGGGGGATGAGGGTAGTAGGCAGACGGGCAGCGTCAAGTGGTTCAGTGACGAGAAGGGCTTTGGTTTCATTACTCCCGACGGCGGCGGCAACGATCTTTTCGTCCACCAATCCGGCGTGAGATCTGAAGGAGGTCGCGTGCTCGGTGAAGGCGAGAAAGTAGAGTTCATCGTGGAGGAAGGAAACGACGGCCGTACGAAGGCCGTCGACGTTTCTCGCCCAAATGGAGGCCCTATCCAAGGTCTCGGTGGTGCCGGAGGAGGAGGCCGCGGAGGCCGTCGTGGTGGTGGTGACGGAGGCTGCTACCGCTGCGGTGAGGCCGGTCACTTTGCTCGAGAGTGCACACAGAGCGGCGGAGGTGGCGGCAGAAATCGTTATGGCGGCAGCTATTATTGCTTCCAGTGCGGTGAGGAAGGTCACTTTGCTCGGGAATGCCATAACAGCAACTGGTGATCTGATCTGTCTCTCCATCTACTCAGAGAATGGCATTGTGAATCTTCACAAATCTCATCTTTATTTTATACGTAGTATTATCCTATCTCTCTTTTAATCATCATGTTGTTGTGTCTGTGTATGGAAGGATCTAGCTTAACCGGTGTTATCCTCTTGCCTGTTTTTGTTCTAAGAAGTGATTAGTTTGTGTTAAGGGAACTGCATTTCGGAAATATATACTTTTGTCTTATGCCTGGTTTTAAAAAAATGCAGAGGAAGAAGTCCTTAGGCTTAAGGAGACTGGTAAAGCTGGTAAAAATGACTGGAGTACGTAGTAATAATAAATTATTTTGATATTGAACTTCACTTGTTGATCTCATTTCAATTTTGTTTCGTTTGTTGTTTTTGATACAGTCAACATTCTTATTTAGACCGCAAAATTATTTTTTACTCTGCACCATCTTATTTCTTCTTCAAGTATTGTAATGGCCGTGGATGTAAGTCAACTAGTAGACAGAAAGTGTTAGACAAACTAAGTAGCTAGATGAACTTTGGAAAGGACACATTAAGGTTAGAGGAGTACCGTTAGTTGTAGACATTGGCATAGCCAGGCTGATATACTAGGCTGTCCGGTACGAGTATTTTTTGAACAATTTTTTAGGTGGTGTTTAGATCTGATTCTTAAAACTGTTTCTGCTCCTTCAAGGAGCAGAAGCAGAAGTTGGAGTGTTTAGTTAGAAGTGCAGAAGTACTTCTTGTGCCCTAATATACTCCTAAAATCTCTTTAATTTTTTAGGAGCTGAGGGATACCAGCTTCTGAAAACTGATTTTGATTTTAATTTCGCTTTGTTAAGAAGTTGAAGCAGAATCAGTTCCAAACATCCCCTTAGAATAATAATCAACAAATTTCTGAAATTTGGGGTGGATCGGGTCCAGTGCCGATCCTACCTAATCTTGAGCCTGAGTCGAACTTCATAAAAAGGCCCCCATAAAGTACTATATTTTGTAGCATTTTTTAAATTACAGATGTAACACCACAAAATAACTAGTTAAATAAAATTCTTACATTTTATGGAGTATAATACGTAGTACAACAATACCAAATGTATTAAAAGTAAGTAATTAAGTACAACACATCGAACTGTTTTAGCTGCAAAAGTATTAATCAAGTCGGCATAATCGAGATGTTCAATAAATTCCTTCTCAATTGATAACATAACCAACTTAAAATTAAAATTTTAAATATAAAAAACTAAGTGTTTAATTATGCATGTCAAATCGTCTGAATAGTCAAAATTAAGCTAGAACTTAATTTTTTAAATGTATGGTGAGTATGGATCATTTACTAGGGTCTCAAATCAACTTCGGAACAACTGAATAACTTAAATTTATCTCCAATTTAACTCAAATCAACTTTGGATCAATTAAAGCATAACAAGGTTTTCTTTGTTCAAAAGAAATTCAAAATGGACCCACAAAAGATATTGATCACAAACTGAACATCGAAACCTAGAAGAATGAAAGGTTAAAAAAATACAGAGTAAAAGCCAAGCCAAGGATAAATGGATAATGATAGAGACTTACCTTTTTATTTTTGGTGTTCAATTGCTATTCAATCCACGCCTCCTGCCCTGTCCGAGTGCTGCAACAAGTGAACAAGGCAAAGCCGTAAAGGCAAATCAAGAAATTGCTCTTCTAATTCTTCTTCTGAGGTTCGACATTCGGCCGTCACACAACAATTGAGCACTGGCCGGTGCACTGCCCTAGTTCGGCCATTCCTCTATCTTCTATCTTCGTTGGTACTCCGTACTTGGTCAATACTCAATAGGTGGCGAGCCGCCTATTTTGGTTTCCAAACGTTGAAACGCAGCGTTGCAACAGGGGATTAAAGAAAGATATATATTTTATATCTAAAAACTACATATATATAATAAGGAAATATATAAAATATTGGGCCCTCAATTTTTTGACAATTTTGGGGCCCTGAGGCCCATGCCTCAGTGGCCTCAATAGTAAGCACGGCCCTGATCGGGTCTTAGCATGGCCCCCTTGCCTTTGTCACTGGTTCGTTATGAAAAAATAACAATCACGAGAAGTCTTCACCGTTGATTTGAAAACCAGTCACCCATAAATAAAGTGACTATGAACCCGTTTGGTAATGCAGTGGCTGAATCCATTGATTTGTTGAAATTGATGATGTTCTGGATGAATCCGCTAAATTATGGAAAAATTACATTTAAAATATATTTTACTGATAAAATAAAGAAAAATTATAAGAAAATTGATAAAATGACTTTCTGTTAACTTTAGTCAATTCAGCCAGAAAGATAATTTCAATCTTACTTATTTTGATTATTAATTATCCAATGCGCAAAATCAAATGTCATTTGTTTGGTGAAAAAATGTTTGATAAGGTTGATAAGCCCAAAAATATACGAAGTAGTCACTAAATGGGGCCTAAGTCCATTAGGATTGCCAAGCGAATAAGAACCCTAAAAATCGTAGAAAATACACTCCCGCTCATACGAGCTATTGAGACCCTTTTTGGACCACCTCTAATAAGGTTAGATGAGTAATGATAGGAGCTTCAAACTAGTTAAAAGAATCAACTAATGAGATAATGATTTATGAGTTTTGGTGATCTTTTTTTAATTTTTGGACTTTTAAAAAAATTAAATCTAAAGACCTTTTTAAATTCATAGATTTTCTTATGAATGAATTACATTTATTTACATAAACACATGTACTTCATATGAATTATATTTATCAATTTCATGGGAAACACAAGTTTAAACAAGAATTATGTAGCATTCATAAATCTAAACATTGTTCCTAAGAGGCCAACTTGGCATAAATTGGTAAGTAACAATTAAAAAATTAAGTGAAACAAATTTAATTCATCTAGTAGCGCAGAGCTCTACAAAAATAAATTAGATCTAAGTATTGAAGTTTATTTTTATCAGAAAACTCGAAATTGGGAGGATGGCCTGTAAACTTGATCTCGCTATGAATCATTCTTATATTACACTAGACAATGAGTAAGAAAGAAAAGTTTTGCACAACTATTATACTCATTGTTATATGCGGTACGAGCATAGACGCAATAAATAGAGTTTTTCTTTTTCTTTTTTCTTTTTTTTTAGCTTGTTAAAATTTGTTTACTTATTTACAGTTAAAAATTTATTAATCTGATATTATAATTTTATGTGTTAGTGATTAATGATCAAAGACGATAATAACTAAATATATATTTTTTAATTAATGATTAACAGGTAACATACAAGAATTGCACATTTGCACTATCAATCACTCAAAAAAAACTCTAACGAAGCGATAATATTGGATTAACGGTTCTTCAAATGGCTCCTTATCATCTTTCAAAGAATGGAACAAATCACACTCCTACTTTTTTCTTTGTAAGATGATAGATAAAAATCACTTTGTAATTTTTATTTAAGTTTATTTTGTGCATCAGTATTTATATAGAATCTCATTGATCAGATTTTATTTATCGTAAAATCATTATTAAAAAAATCATGTTTTAATTTGTAAACATTGCATATCGAGAACATTGTCATACTCACCCCTTGACTCAATATTAGCCGATTCTGGTATGATACAAGAATCGGATTCAAAATCTTTGGGGATATGAAAACACAATTGTAGAAAATTGATGTACTAAGCAATCTTGAATTAAAAACCTACAACAATCCATCGTTGTTTTAAAAGTCCATAAGAAAAAATAAATTAAAGTTGAATATACCTAATGTTTTTAGACTTTTGAAAATATACATACAACAAATCTAAACTTTTAAAATAATAAACTTTTTATAAATTGTCATTAATTCTTAATACAATCAATAAGTCTTGGGTTAATGATGTCAAGCATGTCATTTTGAGCTGATTTTGTTCGAGGCACTACCACCATATGGAGAAGTCTTTCATAGAAATTTGAGAAATAGAAAATTAATAATCCCACCTTTGATAAGGCTCCATAGCTAGAATAAGAGAGACTTTTCAAAATATGAGTAAATAGAGTTTGAAATTTCAAATAAGGACCATTATGTTTTTAACCCTGAAATAGGACTAACATGAAAATATTTATTGTCATCTTGTAGGTGTGACACCGCACCCAAACGTCCTTGAAATTCAATTTAAAATTAAAAATTTATGTATTAAACTTTCTATTGTCGAACAAGTGCAAAACGATTAATGATTCGTGTAATGCGTATTTGATTATTTTACCGTTTGAGCTCGTATATTAATAATGGGCCTTCAAATACTTATTTGGGCTATCTAAATAAATATAAGAGCCCAAATTATCTAAATAATGATACATAACCTTTCGATACAAACTAAGGAAGGTCGGGCGGCCCAAACATCATTTTGGGCCCAACGTGCTAAAAATAGTAAGTATTCAAGAGTGGCGCCCTAAGCCCATTTGGGGATAACCCACATGGCTAGTAGTCCAATAATATGAATGATAATGTCAAAATAAGTGATAGGATGATTAGGGAAGAATACAAACACCTATGGTCTCATCTTTGACTTTATTGAACTAAAAAATGGGAGTAGGTTTTTCTTCTACAATATTCATCATGTAAATTATTGGGATGATACTACACATATTGGAGATCAATAATATGATGTAGGGAGTTGACTTGGTCTATATAAATTACAATGAGTACAAAAAGACATCTCATGACAAAGATAAAACAATAGGATTCATCTTTCCATTTTTGGAAGTATTGGTAGATATTTTGGACCCCAAATTGATTGGGATCGAGTGGGAACCATTCCACATGACTTGAGTACCTGCAAGACAAAGGAAAAGAGGTGAGATGACGAAATGGGGCGGACTCTTGACTCATATACTCAAAAACTCCAAGAGAAAACAAAAGGGGGAGGTCCACCCCAGATTTCATTACAAACCAAATATCTCTCATGTTCTCTTGTAAGCTACATGCCCTATTATCATGATTGATGAGCTCTAGACACCTCCACCGCCCCTCATACGAACCCCAAAATATAAGAGAGCAAAAAGGATCCACACAACTCAAGAGAGAGGGAAAGAAGAGAGCTTTCCGCAGGTTCGTTCTTCAGTACGTAGTGTTGATTGTTTGATCCATAACTTGAGCTTCACTCGTCCAAATAAGTCGTATAAGATACCAAATGAAAGCTCTCAAGACGAGAAATCCGTGAAGGTCTGTTTTTCAGAAAACGGAGTAGTGGAAGACTTTCAAATCATCGAAGGAAACCCCAATCTCGCAGAAACGATTTTACCTCTTGAAAGTGAGTTTGAACCCAGACCCTTCCTTTTCATTTTCCATATGATATGAACGGTTTGTGGAACTATTATACACTATTCCAAGGGTATAATATGTCCTTATAAGATTATTTTATTGATGTAAAGGTTAGATACTAACCTAGAGAAAACCTTGGAAAAACTAGGAAACGAGTTCGCCGGAAAACATCCATTCTAGAGGTTATTTTTGTATCAACGGTTAGGGGTTGAGCTAGCACTTTGAGGAGGCTGTTTAACACTCATTTTTAAGCAAGGAATCAGTTCTTAATCCACCTTGTCCGAAGCTTGGGTCATTGGATCAAGAAGGAAAAGTTTAAAGCTCAATTAAGGTGAGGATCGACATCTAATTGCTTACAACTTGTAGGTAATTTGATGAAATATTGATATAGTTGCCAAAGAATGAAATTGGAAATGATTTGAGGTTGTATGAATAATATAAGATTAAATGAGTTATAAATGAACTATTTTATGAAATAGGCATTTTACTCATGTATGAAATATGTGGATACATAAATGAATATTTATGTATTGAGATTTACAAAATGAGAATATTTGTATGATAACAATAATCTTAATAGTATTGAAATACTAGTTAGTGATTATTGGAAATTGTTGATAGAATTGATCCTAGGGATTGGATTGTATGCAATGCACTTGAATATACTTCAAGTGTATATAATGACTTAGTATGAAGCTAAGGTTAAGTTCTGGGCAGTCTTTAAGGATGACCCAAGGTAGTTTATCGATATGTCAATTCTAGGCATAGGTTTGCTTAGGATCGGAATTGGACTTTAGTGCATGGTGATGTAATAGAGCTGAGCTATAGGATGCATGATAAAGTGGTAGACTTGTAGTCTATGTATTGTATAACTAGAGTCGAGCTCTAGGGCTTGCACGGTGATGTGATAGAGCCGAGCTCTAGAATGCAAGGTAAGGAAATTGACCCAAGTGACATGAATTGTATGGTGATGTGATAGAGCCGAGCTCTAGAATACAATGTCATGTATTAGGGTTGGACTCTATGAGTTGTCGTGGCGTATAGTCACGGGGAATGTGAATGGTGATTTCTAAATTAACATGGGTCCACAGGCCGACTACTTTACTTTTATATAAAGTAAGTATATTTTCAAACGGGATAACTTAGGGTTACAACCATATTATATTATCACCCTATTTGAGGGTCTTGTGTTTGAAATACTTGTTGTGTATTTATTAGATGTCATCCACACCAGTACTTTAATTTATAGCCCTATAGAGTACTGACCCCTTCGGGGGCGTCCCACCACCATTTCAGGTTGAGTCTAGAGCTTGCATCCTGTGCTCGTTGATTGAGTGATTCCCCGGAGAGAAGACTTGGTTCGTGCTTCCTCCATTTTGTTTAAAACATTAATAAATTTGCTCATGGATACTTTAATTAGAGCCTGTGCGCTCGTGTTTTCTCTATGTGGCATTTGATTTCAAACTATGTTTTCGCTGCGTATTGAATTGTTTATTATGTATGTTTATGGATGACTTATGTCTGAATAATATTCATGACGCCTTGTATAATATGGATGTGGTTGACTATGGTTGACTATTCGTGTTATACAGCGGGTTGTTGACGTGTCCCGGTAGGTCCGGGGCGTGACAGTAGGCATGATTGCCAAATAGTTGTAGTACAGTGTATGTAGCATGACAGTATTTATTATAATTAATGACAGTATTTTTCAATATGGCAGTATTTTTCATGCATGACAATAATTAACAACTCCTATTTCGGGAAGAAAAACATAGTAGTCTTATTTTGGAATCTCAATCCTTATTTACTCCTATTTAATGCAATTTCCCCTAGAATAATCTCATCTAATTGTAATCTATAATAATCCCACATATACACGCCAAGTGTATTCAAAGTTTACAAATAGGGGAATTTTGAGTTTATAACCTATGATATTGGTCTTTGCATCTCGTTTTCAAAACTTTTAGACTTTGCACCATATCTACAACATTTTGTGAAGAGAATTTCCTAAATGGGGTGTAAAGGCAACAACATTTTAGGGAAAATAGGGTGCAAAGTCTAAGAGTTTTGAAAATGAGGTACAAATATTCCTTACAAATATACTCTATTAGTCTCATTTTCCTAAAAACATATTCTTTTCTGAATTCATCTAACTTTTTTATTTTTCTCTTTATAATTTTTTTTTTTGAAAATTTGCTCTTTATCATTTATTCTATCATTTTATCATTTACTTTATTGAGGAAGCGATCCAACTCAGCTGGTCGCCAACTCACTCTCCCTTACCGGATTTCTCGGGTTCGAAACTCAATGGAGTAGTGAGTTTCAGTTCTGATTACTCCAGACCCCCTCAGACGCCCCTTGGTGTAAACAAAATAAAAATAAAATAAAAAAAGAAATCACCATATATATAGTGCTTACTTTTTTAACCTTATATATTGCAAAAGAATCACTTTATTCTTTATTTTTCTATAAGTATGTCTCAAATTAACTCACATACTCCGTATATCCAGGGCCGTATATGAGAGCGTGCAAGAAGTGCTACCGCACAAGGGCTCTCGATTTCAGAAGGTCCAAAATTTTAAATATAATCTATACTTCGTATAATATAATAAATCTTTATTTATTTGATAAAAAATTCCTATCTTAGTACTTCTTTAAATACAATCATTAAATAGTAATATTTATATGTAATTAAAATGCAATTGTTAATTACATGTGTGTAATTCTTTATTTCATCAGGCCTAATTACAGTTTGGAACGAACTTGTAACTACTTTTTTTTCATACTTTGTCATTACTTTACTTTTCTTAATATATTCTCTTTTCTACTTTTTCATTTATTTTACACCTCTATACTACACCTACTATATTCTTCTTAAAACCTACAAAAAATCTAAGGAGACTATTATTTAAAACCGATGGAAGTATAAATATGTTTTATACTTGAGCCTCATATTCAATTTTGCACAGGGCCTTCTACATGTCAGGGCCGGCCCTGCGTATATCTTACATGAGATAGTTTAATAGTATCGTACTCCCTCCGTCCCAGAATCAACTTCGGTTTTGACTGGGCACGGGGATTAAGATAGTGGGAAATGTGTGGTGGAGATTTGTGCAGAGGAGAGAGAAATGTGTAAGAATGGTTGTGACCCACAAATCCTTTGCCAAAAAGGGAAAGATGAGATAAATTTGAGACAGACCGGAAAGGAAAGAATGAAGATAATTTGGGACGGATTATAACTTGTGTCAACTTATACCATTTTTACACCCGAAGAACATCAAACTGTTAGCTCAGAGCTGTACTGCAGTAGGAACAAAGAATTAGATTCGGCATGCATCATATTCGAATATTCGATCTTCTTTGGGCCGGGATGGATAACAATCTAACGGCCAAGAATGCATGACTCTTTAATTTAACACCCTTTGATCCAATTGGATTTATCAATCTTTTCTCATAAATTCTTTTGTTCTTAGAACCCTGTCATCATTCATTCTTCTCACTGCTAACTGCTTCGGGTTTGTCTTTCTTCTCTGCGCTCTGTTTATAATTATTTATTATTATTAATATTATTATTATCAGTCCATTACTTTAATAATGCTTTGGTCCTGCTTTTTAAATTATACAGAAATTTTAGTAGAGTATGCATGCTCCATAATAACTAGCAAGTTGATAACGTGAATACATCAATTTTATATAGACCTCATTGTTATAAAATTAATACATGTAATACTTTACTAATTAAATTTATTGAGCATGTTAACTAACATGTTAACATGCTCAATAAATTTAATTATTATAAATAAGATAGAATTGCTCCATAGTGTAATACGGAAGGCTTTGAGGCTGAGGATCTATATACTTTGTTTAAGTGTAGTCCGTTGTACATAGTATGTTACTAAAGTTCACATGTTACTAGTTGATGGAAAAAGGATGTCAGAATTCCTAAAGGAGAGGTTTCCTGTTTGATTCTGAGCAAAGGCTTGGACCATAACTTACTACTCTTCCATTTTAGTCTCATGTGAATGTCTCATCGGTTCTAAGGCACTCAGTGATGAGTTGTGTCCCCTTTTTAAGGGAGAATTTGACTTTGCAGTCCATATTTCGGTTAATATTTGATTTGCACTCTATTTTCAAAATCTTTAATTTATGCATCCCAACTAATTATAAAATTATTTGATTTGCACCTCAATATGAGCGGTAAAGTCAAATTCCGAATACTACGAGAAATAAGCTGGAGGTTTAATTAACTTTAGATCAAATTTGTGGGATGGTACGGCACAGATGGAGGTGATGGTTAACCGTGATTTGCTAACATGTGCCTCCCATTCACGCCCTCATCTCCTTTCCGCCTTCTTCACGCGCCCCCGCCGCCCTGGCTGTGCCACTCAGGTATTTAGACCAGCCTTCTTACTCTTTGAAGAGACTGACTCAAATAGTCAAATTGGATTTTACAAAAGTGATACTACCTCTGTCCCACTATGGCTATGTTTGGCGGGCATAAGACCCTGACTTCTAGCTTTTGTACTGTTCAAAAAATTCCCAAAAGCTTCTAATTGTGTGTTTGGCATGACAATATTTAAGAGCTTTTCAAACATTAAAAGATCTTTTTTGAGATGCTACCGGGAGTAGCATCTAAGAAAAGCTAGTGACTTTTAGTATTAATTAATCCTAACAGCTTGTATACCAAATCGAACTAAATCAAACAGTCAGCTTTTCATCAAACAGCTACCACCTTTTATTTTAAGATCTTTTCAGTCACTAAAAGCTAACAGCTATTAAAAAGCTCACAAAAGTATCTTTTCAGCTAGTTGTACCAAACATGCCCTATGTTTGGGATAAAGAGGTGTGACACAACTTTTAAGAAAAAATCGAATTGTGTGATTGATATTGACTATTGAATTCATAAAGTGTGAAAAAAAGTAAGAATGAATTGTAATTATTCAAATATTATCAAATATGATATGGGACAAACTTAATAGGACGAACGAAAAAAGATAAAACATGACAAAATTAGGGGGACGGAGGGAGTACGTACTTGATTTGTAGTTAGACTAGTATATACGTAGTATTAAAGCCATCAGACGTTTGAGTGGGAGAGATATACTACGTTCGTCCCAAATTGATTTACAAATTTGACTTTTTTTGTCAAACAATTTTATTTTATTCACTTAATTAGAATGTCGATTTTTAATCATATTTTAATTTAGAGTTTGCAACTTTAAAGCTATTTTAATTTTCAAATTAGTTCACGAAATTTCGGACTTCTCTCTAGGGTTTCGCAGCCCTTAGAGCTTTTTTTCCGTCTTCGGTTATACGAAGGACGGCTAAATTTCTCCTCGGCGATCTTCATCCACGGAAGTCCGCTTCCGCTATTTGGTGGAGTCGAGCGAGGTTTCGTTGTTACTTCGGTCTTGATTGCTGACCGTGAGGTTGGGCGAGAGCAGACAAGCATTTTTTCTCTTGTCGAGTGCGGGACGAAGAGTGTTGCAAGGACTTCGAGTAGGCCAGATTGCGTTCGACAATGGAGGATCAATTAGCATGGTACGGTGGAACGACCTCCTCCTGAACCACCACCATGGGTTGTAAGAGGTGCAGGAGTCCGTGAAAGTTTTCCTAGTAATTTTTACGGAGTATCTGTTTGTCATTTGTTTTCTTGTGTCCATCTTTGTTGTTGGTTTTGACAGTTTGTTTGAGTTTTTAGTCTCTCTTTATGTCATTGGGTATGGTTGGATCTATGGGAACAGGTTTGGTTGTGTCAAGCCCACTGCATGGTTAGCGATTCGTGTTGCTCTTTCAGGGGTGACCGTTTCAAAGTCTAATCATAGGGTTTATCGTCGTAGTTTTTGGAGTTTAGTTTGTGTCAGGTTTATTTTCCTTTTGTTTGATGTAATGATCCTGAATTTTTTGATATGAATAGAGACATGTTTTAATCTCAACTTTTAATTTTTACGCTTAATTTCTATTTAAAATTCACTTTTATAGAAGGTAATATTTGGTCATGGACCATTATTGGCGGATGGTCCATATAGTTGGGATTATACAAAAATAATCAATAGTTGGGATTATTGTTAGCGGACCGGCAATAGTTGGGATTATTATTTTCAATTTTTCCAAACTTTAAGGAAAAATTGATTGTAATAATCCCAACTATTGGCGGTCCGCTTATAATAATCCCAACTATCGATTATTTTAGAATAATCCCAACTTTAGGGTCCTTCCGCCAATAACAGTCCCCGTAAATAAATTAATGTACTTTCTGAAGTGGATGAGAAGAGATATAGCAAATAATCTCTATAAATAATCTCAACTTTTAATTTTTACGCTTAATTTCTATTTAAAATTCACTTTTATAGAAGGTAATATTTGGTCATGGACCATTATTGGCGGATGGTCCATATAGTTGGGATTATACAAAAATAATCAATAGTTGGGATTATTGTTAGCGGACCGGCAATAGTTGGGATTATTATTTTCAATTTTTCCAAACTTTAAAGCTATTTTAATGTAATTTATGAATATGTAAATATTATTTATTAAAAATTGAACTAATTATTGATAGAGATGATTGACTTTTATTATTGGTTAACTTTGAAAACAATTTGGGACGAGAGGGTATGCTATTCCAAGTCAAAAAAACAGTGATAAACAGTTAAATTGATCGATTTTCCAAAGTAAGAATATATTTGTATGATACTCCGTATTTTTTAGTATACATAGAAACTTAAGTTACGGATATATTGAATATTGTAGAAGGATGCATTTGATTCTTTTCCCAACATTTATATCTCAAAGATTAACAAATGTGCTCTCAATCACGTTATAAATATTTTTCATCTAAAAGATCTCTGTATCTAGCATTCTCAATCAATTTAAGAGCATGTTTGGCAGACATAAGTTTGCCTTCTAGCTTTTGTACTGTTCAAAAAGTCTCTAAAAGCTTCTAGTTGTATGTTTGGCATAATAATTTTCAAGAGTTTTCCAAAATTAGATCTTTTTTGAGATACTATCAGGAAACCGGTTACTTACCGACCGAAAGGGCTTAATTGAACGTTTTTTAATAGTTTGAGGACTTAATTGAGTGTTTGTAAAGTACGAGAGCCTAATCGACTTTTTCGGTATAGTACGGGGGCTTATTTGATAGTTTTCCCTTTTTTTATCAAACACTATCAACTTTTATTACTAATCACTTTTTTCATAACACTTCAAAACTGCTTTTTTAAGCAGAAGCTATGGTTGCAAACACTCCCTTAGCATCATTCCTTTGTGTTTTCTTTTGCAAAGAATGAACTATTAATGAGAACATTGAGAAGAGGGAAGAAGTTAGTACAGAATATTTAAATACTTGGATGTCAATCTTTTTTGTGGTCCCATTTCATCACTAGACTAGATGTGCATTCGACCATTCAGTTAACCTTAACCCCATAAGTAGAGTCAATAAACTACTACGTAATTTACTAGCCCGTGATAATCCATGTTGTGTGTAGGCTTGGCCCGGGTTCGATCTGACCGACCAGTGAACCGGCCCGGCCCGGTACTGTTTGGGACCGGCCCGGTGAACTGGGACCGATTCCAAGCCTAGGACCGGCCCGGGGTGTTAGGGCGGGCCGGGTACGGGTCACCCCATTCTTTGGAATCGACCGGCCGGGTTGGGCCTAGTTTGGGTCTTTTTTCATTTTTTTTGTTTTTCCCGGGTTGGACTGGGTGTTTTGGAGTGTTTTGGGGGTGAGGAGGGGGTCGGGAGTTAATCAGAAAAGCCAAATATATAAGGGTGGGGTCACGTACAAACTAGTCTTCTCATGCTAACCTACAAACTGTCACAAACTATACATCTTTACATTATTTGTACTGCATATTGAAGTTCAAAGTGATGCATATTATTTGTACTTCATATTAAAGTTCAAAGTGTTGCATATTATTTGTATTGCATATTGAAATTCAGTGTGCATCTTTACATTATTTGTATTGCATATTGAAGTGCAAAGTGTTGCATGTTATTGAGTTTATAGGTTAGTATTTTAAGCATGATTTGTATTTGATCTCTTATTTATATATATATATATATATATATATATATATATATATATATATATATATATATATATATATATATATATATATAAACCGGCCCGAGATCGGACCGGCCCGGACCCGGTGGAAACTCAGGCCGGTTCCGGGCCTTCACCCAATATTAAAAAGCCCGGTTCGGGACCGGCCCGGAACCGGTCCATGCCTAATTGTGTGGACGAATAGCATTACCAATAACAGGTTTTGGAACACGTATTTGATGCAATATGGCACTGAGCCAATTCTAAATGAAAGGCCAACTCAATGATCACTTCCAGAACCCAACCGGATCAAAAGTGCACATGGATGAAACCAAATGCAAGGAGGTAGATGCCCAACCCTGTGAAGGTGAGGATTGGGTTGACGCATGCATTGATGGGAATGATGGCAAGGACGGAGGAGAAGATCCAAAAAACAGCCCTGATGAGAATGATAAAAACGCTCCTGGAGGGACAAGAGGAGAGAGTGATAGTACGGGTCATGGCAATAGCAAAGAACATGGAGAGGATGAAGAAGAGGGTGATGATGGAACCAACGAAGGTCACACTCATAACAACAATGATGACAAAGATGACGATGTAGATAGCGATGAATACTTTAACAATCACAATGATAGTGAAGATGAGGAGGAAGAAGATGTTGATGGTAGAGGTGAAGATGAGGATGAAGCTGCGTACCAAAATAATCAAGATGGTCAAGGCCCTGAAACAACAGACAAAGAGGGTGATGAAGATGACGAAGCTCCCCAGCCTCCAAAGAAGAGGAAAGTGTGAAGCACGACCCCCCTGACTGACTTCAATTTACTTTCTAATCATAACGTGCAAGACAATTATGAATTTCTAATAGATGTCCAAGTTTCTATATTTCATTTCATTTAAAAGGCTTTGATTGGTTAGCCAATTGAGCAAACAATCACATGTCAGCATAATTCATTGCACAACCTTTAAGAACTCCACTGCTTTTTCATATGTATATGACTCTCTCTTCCTATTTTTATTTTTAGGATTCATTAGGTAATTTGATATTTTGGCCAATCTTTTTCCAAATTCCAACTAGAGCATAAATCCAACTGAAAAACCAGAGAAGCATAAGCAATATCCAGAGAGCCACATTCATATTTATGCTATCACATCATGAATCCCAAAGAAACACCAAAGTAACATTAAAGAAAAGAGAGAAAAGAAGATACATTGGAAGGAGATATCCTATCACTAAATATACATATACTCCATACCAGAACCTATATTTACAGGGGCAGGGGTGTTGTAGGTTTGGGGCACTGAAGAAAATCACTTTTTTGTCGCATCAATAAACATGGCTCGAGTCCAATGCTCAACATCTTCAGTTTGTGAAGGTGGAGGGGGGAAGGTGGGATGCTCAATTAAGTCCCAACCTTCCAGCATTACACTTCCATTCTTTCCTAGCTCTGATGTTTCAGTCACGTACAGCACACTGGTTGTTGTAGAGCTTGGAGTATTATTATGGTCATATGTGTTTCTCTGCAAGAATAATTAACTAATAAGTTAGAACACAAAATCAATACATCTTTCGTACAATGTACATTAATGAGATAGTTTTGACTGATATAGAGGATGAAAAATATGCAAAAGTAGAGAAATAACATGAAGCACATAATAATGCTTTAGTTAGATGAAACGAGGGATCATCTTGGGACAGACTGAAAAGGAAAGTGTTAACATGATTCAGGGAAGTAGTTATTATTAGCATCTAATGGAAAAAAGATCATTGTTCAACACCATGTCCGTCCAAGTAGCAAAATTGCATAGCCTACAAGTAGCAAAATTGCATAGCCTACAGTGCAGATAATTCTGTAAGAATTATGTGTTTAATAATGGTAAAACTCATGGAAAAATAATAAGGAACCAATGCTAGGGTATGTTTGGATCCCTGAATATGAGAGACAAGGTAAAAAAAAATGGAAGGAAAGCTACTTGTATTTTGCTTTAACTTGGAGTACATAAAATGAATTGTAATTTGTTTAAAAGAGCAATATTTATGTTGGGAAAATAACTTTAAATAATACAAATTGTCTTCCATGAACTAAGAATAATACGTACTTTGGAAATAACTTGTAATAATAGCAACTATTTAAATATAGACCAAAAGTGATATAGAGCATTTTTTCACCACAAATTTAGTCATTTAATTCACCAAAAACTAATATTAAAATATCAAATGCGTGACTGTATTTCTGGATATCATTTATTTGATGGTTTGCTATTAGTTTTCGATGTCTTAAATGATTCGATTACATGTTAAAAAGTGATTTCACATTATTTTTGTTTTACATTTGAATAGTTGGTATTATTAAAAATCATTTTCAAAGTATGTATTATTATTGATTGATGAGTTGTAGTTGGTATTATTTAAAGTTATTTTCCCTTTATATGTTTGGATTTCTTGATTTTTAATTATTTATGAAATAGAATAAATGAATGAGATGAGATTGAAGAAATATCCAAAACAAATTTAGAGTTTGAACCTATCTTATTCCCCAAAGTCTCCATTCCTTCAAATTTTACTCATTATTTTCCTCCGAATATATCTGTTCACTAGTACTTTCTGCCTTTCCGGGTTACAAATGGACCCTTGAAGTGCTTGGGTGTGTATGTACCGAGACAAGTTTCTTTAATATGAACAAAAAATGGAGGAAATGGAATATCGCCAGCTGAAATATAGTAATACTACACGGGTGATTTGAAACAAAAGCAACATAGTTCATGGAATATTTGTATACAAGCAGGCAACTTGCAAGGGCTGGCAGCTTAGACTACTCATGAAATGCACAAAAATATTAACCATGATGTGGTGAAGATTCAGGATGCACTGTGAAATAGAAATGTGTTATAAAGAAGGATTAGTCATTATAGACAGAAGCTGTGGCGAGGCATCAAAGTGCACTTGAAACTTTATGTGTGTCTTCCAACCAACAAAGTACCTACTCCATCCACTTTGAAAATGAGGGAGAGAGCAGACATTCACTTGGCAGTAAAGTAGTAAACATTAATAAAGAAAGCCCAGTTAAGTGAGAGAGCTAATACTTTCATACCAATTCTCAAGAGAGTAATTCAAAAACTAATGCAGCACAATCAAATAGAATGTGAAAAATCATTTTTACAAAGACCGCGAATGAGAAATCTTACTTGTAATGGCAATGTATGCAGACTTTCCATAAAAGTGCTCGAGGAAACCAGTGAATTTACATCCCATACAGATTTGCTGAATTGTTGGACTTGCTTAGATGATCTGCATAACAAAATCAATTCTATTCTCACGACAGCCTCAGAGATAGTAGGTAGATGTAGTGAGGAAAAATGTACCTCGAATGAGCCATTTTTAATGAAAAAACGGATCGCACTTCCTTGGAAGAAGAAAGGGTGGCCAACAACTTTGCAAATGCTTCAAACGTAGATGCCTCTGTGGGAACATCTAGACATAATATGTTATAACAGTATGCCGTTATGCAAGCCACACTTTTCTTAACAAGTGCTATCCCTTTCTGCAACTCCTTGTGCGTTTCAAGAGAGTGTGGCGACGCAGAAGAGTAATTGAAACTGCTTCTTCCAGAAGAATCCAAACGACCTTTCCTTTCGGACTCCATAGAAGTCACACCAAAGTTACTTGAGCTTCTTTCAGACCATGAGGCTTCTCCGCCAGTAGAACAAAAATTTTGGCGAGGAATAAAAAGAGGGTATTCACCACTACAAGCAAATAAAATTAGGGTAAGTGGATAGAAAAATGAAAGCAAGTGAACTTTTAATGTCCAACAAAAAAACCTTCTAGAAGATGGGCGTGCGTCCCAATACGAATCTCGCTGCCATACTCGAGAACACGAACCCTACACAGGAACACAAAGTTGAAACAACACTGTTGTCATTGTGTGAAAAAATCTCAAGAATGAAAACTTACAGCAAAGCCTGAGTTATGAAGTGAGGGTGCACAAACATTACGAACAATGTGATTCAACAATTGCACCATGTATCTGTTCAACACAGGAAAACACTACTAACTAGCAAAACACATCGCTTAAAAAACAAGGTGAAACCAGTAGCACATTTAAAGGGGTAAAAAGAAATATTATATCGACCCAGAATTCAGCAAAGGTAAGTGAGATGAGTAGTCAACTTGAGGACCAACAAGGTAGCATAAATGAGTGGTGCTGGTGCAGGTATACATAAGACCCAGAATTCAGACATACAAAGGTAAGTGAGATGAGAAGTCAACTTCAGGACCAACAGATTAGCATAAATGAGTGGTGTGGTTATACAAAAGTCATAGGGCTCATGTTTGTAAAAAGAAAGTAAGTACCCCAGAGAAGCAGCAAGCTCCTCAGATGGAACAGAATGAGGATCAAGTCCTCTTGGCAAGCGTGCATTACAAATAGTATCATATTGACCATTGCATCCATCTTTTCTTTCAGCATCTACAGTAACCTGTAATATCAAGCCCACTTTTAGAACTCAAGACAATCAATTGGGGTCTAGATGCCTAATCACATAAAACTAGGTCTACAACATTGTTTGTGAACTACAAAAAAAATATGTTAAGCACGCACGCATCTAAAAAGTTACCATTAGCAATTTTTTTAGCCTATCTAGTATCTACACTCCAAAAAATTAGTAAAGATTTCCAATCCAAATTATCACAGTAGAATTTATCGTCATGAATAGCATGCATCTCTCATATCCTATATTTCCAAATTCTCAACAAACTTGTATAATGATTAAAGCAAATCATTACAATTAGTGTTCTATAAATTTGATTGCATAAAACATAGATCTTACTCTGCGTTGAGGAAACAGCTTGCATATCTGTTTAATAACAACAGATTGTTTATGAAGGAGTTCAGAGGTGATAGCCATCTGCGCCAAGTATATTCCAATTCAAGTCATAAACACCACAATAAGAAAACATAAGCATGATCAGATCATCAAATAGAGGAATTATTAGTTATCTCACATGACCAAGATTCTGAGTGCAGATCAGATTAGGAAAGAACTTTTCAAGTTGTTCGGCACGACTTGTTTCAAGCTGCAATGCCACTCACAAGAGAGATCATTTTGCAAGAATTTCACAATATAAGTTAAACTTTTAAGGATATATATCCAGGGGCGGATCTAGCATTAACGTTCAGCCGGGGCCAAATTTTAATTAAACAGGGTATATTGCAAAAAATGCTAAAATATTGTAAAGTAATACTCCCTCCGTCCCCAAAACTTGGCCAAATTTCCTTTTTTTGCCGTTCCAAAATACTTCGCCATTTCTATTTAAAGTAAACTATATGTGGCTAAAATGATTTCTCTCTTCTCTGCACAAATTTCAACCACACAGTTTTTACTTTATTAATCTACGTGCAATTCAACTTTGACCAAGTTTTGTGGGACGGAGGGAGTATGTATTTAACTAAATTTATTTTCAGATATAAAATAGCATTTGTTGCAACAAAATGTCAAAGAAAAAATAAATATTACTATGTACAAAAATAAGAAATTTTTTCAGTCAAATAGAAAAAACATCTCAAATTTACAACTATTTTTAGGGGTTGTCAAGCGTCTTGTGATCCGATGGCATCACTTTGATACTCCTAAGGAAGATTTTACAAATCACATTCCATTTCAAGGATGTTGGCCTTAACATAGAAAAATGCTATAATAGGTTATGAAACTTTGCGGGAAAAATATATTTGTAGGGATTTTCAAAGACTGATATTGTCAAATTAGATATAAACATGAATATGATTATATGAACATTGGAATTATATACTCTATGTAAAATAATTGAAATAATTTTCTCATACTAATTCCAATGAATTAAACAACTTAAATTTTGATGCTATTGAGATGGGTGTTGAGCTTATACAAATTGATGGACTCCCAATTGAAATAAAAAATGTTTGAAGGAAGCTTCCCTGTGGGAAAACGTGAGGGAAAAAAATATTCGGGATAAGAAATGAAGTTCTTAAAATTGCTCTACCCACTAAAATACTCCGTTGGAAAAAAACAGTCGTGTTCCTCCTAGGTCTTGAACACTTGACGCGAAGCTCCAGAGGTAACACCAATTCCATCTCAGCCAAACATGTATTGCTCACTTTATGACGCTTTTTTTTAATTACATATTATCTAGACAACATTATATTTATAATATACTATGTATATAAATACAAAAAAATTATTTTTTTGAGCATGGGCCTAGGCCCTCCCTGGACCTATACCAGATCCGCCCCTATATATATCATTAAGTATAAGTATACATCATTATACCTTGTTCATGGCTGATTCTAGCAAATTAAATTTGACTTTTAGATCATTAGACAACTTCACAACTTTAGCCTTTCCTGTAACACATCAATCAGTCAGCTATCATTTTTCTATTAAAAATAAATCAGCAATATTACCCAATAAGTCAATAACCTCAACTATCTAAGCTTGCATGAAATTTAGCGCCAATTGATAGTAAACATTTACTTAACATTATAAATTCGCGCAAATGCATAGTGGCAATATTGTGCTTTAATGTCCTTACTGTTCAACTTACAACACGCAACCTCACTGTTATAGATTTTTTACGTAAAATGAAGATGTTATGGACTGCAATTAGTTCAGAACTTCAGATATTTGTCATAGTCGAGTTTAAAAAATCAGTATTGTTTAAAATATCACTACTTTGATTATGTAGGAAAGATATCGGTAATATTTGGAAAAAGACAAGGATATTAAAAAGTTAGAAATTTCACATGAGGTCTTGCATTATGTCAGATCAAACTTCATAACACTAATTTAACTTTAAATAGTATCAAAATGATACGTTTATATTCAGCTGAGAAACTATTTAAATAGTCTAAGATACAATAAGTGTTCAAAATTACAAACAACTTTACTATTCGTTGGCGATAGTAAAGTGTTCAAAATGATCAATTACTATTCGTTGAAGACTATCTTGAAGCAATAATTGTGCCAACTTACAGTGCAAATGTGCAATTAGAGCGATAGTAGTTGTCTGCCACTTTAAACGTCCTAAATTCAATTATTTGGATGTCAAACGATTGGAATTGTGAAAGTTGTAAATATACCACTCCTGCAACTCAAGGTTAAAGTCTTACTGGGGCTTCAATGATATGGTGGGATTTTTTAGTGTCTTTGGTGATAGGTTGTCCCCGACACTCTTAACTATTTTGACTTGAAACCTTACTATACTTTTATTTGAAATAAATGTCACATAAAAAAATTCCACAAGATTGTAATATAATCATTGATTTTTCATAAAAATAAATCTATGCTTTAAAAACTGCCCTAGAGGAAAGGGGGCTAGGCACTCCTTGGGCACCTAGACTCCGCCTAGAAAGATAAATAGGATTTGGTGAGTAACTAACCTTTCAAAAGTTTATCTCTACGTTGCTTGAGCTCCTCTTTGAGTCTTGCCAGTTTCTCATTTTGGAATACTCGCCAACTTTGTTGATCATCAGACTTGCCCTGATAATATGAAGTATCTGAGTGAAACTGACAAATCTAATAAAACTAATTAAGTAAAGAAACACGAGTTCAGCTAATACTGCAGTCCACAAACAAGTAACATTACATACAAATGAGATTAAAAACTTTTTCTTTTTGGAAAGAGAGATAAAGTTCAAATAGTTTTAAGAAATATTTTTGGCGTACATATCTGAATTGCTCAATGGCAACGATTCGTCGATCGTAAGACTGAAATTATGATAAAGGTAGTATACTTTGCATAACCACAGTTTTGCAATGAATGCAAATTGGCAAGTAGCCAAGTGCTTAAAGTCAAATATATGAACCACTTATATTTTCTGTATTCTATGTTATTATCGATGCGTCAAATTAATATGCCTGTATGGTGTTTAGTAACCATTTCACTTGAATCCATTGATGAAATCAACATTAAAAATCATATTAGGATTCTTCAATCTTTTTTGCCATCACCGACCCTCCAGTTCTCTAAACAAAATATTTGATATGGTCTATGAAATAAGAGATTCAATTGAGTGTGAAATATTAAACTCCAAGATGGCATATCCTACTTTTTTTAAAACAAGTTGAGATAAAAGGAGATTGGCCACTTGCAGACTGTGTGTTGGACTTAATGGGAAAACTTTCACATCTTCCATCCCCTTCTCATAATGGTTAACTTACATATACAGTTTACATTCCAATGATAACATGAATAGTATCATACTAACATTAGTTTGTAGTTCAAGTCAAGTAGTTTGCACATAACTCAGCCTGACTAACAAAGTTAGACATAAGCTGGACAGGATGACATCAGTATACACCATAAGTTAATATCACAAGCTCAACATCTAAAATTAACCGCACCTTCGTGACAAGCACTTCACTCAATCTTGCATATAATCCATCCCTCTTACTCTTCAATGATTTCAAAGTCATGCCGTACTCATTCAATCTGCAAATAGATGAAATTGCAACAAAATTTTGATTCCAAAAGGCAATACACCACGGACGTGGGATAATCACATTCAGTAGCATGAAATAGACTAGTGGAATTGAAAATACATAAACAGTGATCACCCATACCTGTAATTGACGCATACCGTGCAAATAGAAGGGAGGTTAGGGTTTTCACATATACCGCAGCTGCTTTTTTTCCTTGTCGTCATCTGAACATTCATTCACACAATCCTTTAGCTATAATTGTGTGTGATGCACGCGGACGCCGAAAACATGGGGTGGTAACGCTCGGCGGACGCAAGGAGGCAAGGACACTCAACGTAGCGTATGGTTAACCGGGTACGAGGCCAAAAGCCTTGGATACGGCAGGGAAACGACAGGGATATAAATAAGCACCGGAGCAGTGCGAAGCTAGGAGTAGAGATTTTCCGGTCAGGGACAATATGCAAAGCAGACTGAGTAAGGGCGTCGCGGCTGTGGTTTGGGAGAAGTGAATAGGTGATGATGGGTAGGGTACAGCGAGCTGATTGGCTATTGGAGGGCTTTTTTCTGAAGAAGGGTGGTGGAGTTTGCAGCGACGGGAGCGGCAGATGCGAGTCAGATACTGTTTGTACAGGCGGTTTAGTTAACCGAACGATTCACTCCGACGACTTAGCTGTTGGGCGGACGGCAGCTAGTTCACAAGGATAGATGCACTTCAAATCAATTTAGATCACATCAAATTAGATTAAATCATATAAATCAGATAAATCAAGCTCAAATGGATAGATCAAATCAAACTAGAGTTAAAAACATCAGATCCAACCCCATATCAGAATTAAACAATGCAGACTAGATTGTACTAAACTTTGAGAATTTTTAATCCAATCAAAAACATCTAAATGGTTATAGACAACTTTTGATGTCCAGTCGGCCTGACGGAAACCACGGTCCGGCCGAGGACATTTCGGGTACTTTCCGGTGAAATTTTTTGATGAAATTTTTTGAACATGTTCTTTATGTAGTCTAGTTTGTCCATACCAAATTTCAGCTAAATATTCAATCGGGAAGGCACTCAAATAATTCATAAAGTTAACTGGGCATGTTCATACATATAAACTGCGCAGTTAACTTCAAAAAATTATTTGATTGTCTTCCCAATTATTTGGTAGGGATGACATTTTAAGGAAGGATCATGCAAAGTAATTAGAGAGATTGTTTTCATGACATTGTTGGGGTATATGGATGACATTTCTAAGAGCATCTCCAATGCAAGGGTGTGGTCTCTTACACACCCTTACACATGGGTCCCATTTTTTATCTCACAAATTTTATGTGTAGGACCCACATATTTCCCAATTTATTTTCATTTTCATTTTTTTATATCACTTTTAACCCACTTTTCATCAACTTTTCCTCCTCGAATCCCGTGTAAGGTCCATATATGGACCTTGTCATAGACCTTGGTCCATTTTTACCTCTATCTCTCTCCTCTTTTTCATTTTTCCCTACACACCACTTCATCCCAATATTTATTCTATCTCTATCTCTCTCCTATGCCACATCAGATGCAATGCACCCTCCCATTGGAGATGCTCTAAGTGTTCTAAGTGTATGTGGGGCTTCTATTTTCATTATACACAACGCCACATGTCATGTGTTTGAAAGGGAAAATTATATTTGAAATATATTAGAAGTGATGTGTGTTGCATTTGGAGACATGTGCTTGTTTGTATATTTTAATTTTCAAAATTTAAAATATATATTTAAACCAAAATTTCGAATATACGAGAAAGGTTGTTTACGAGGAGCAAACATCACTCCAAATTATTCAATCTTTAGTGTTTCACTAAGAGCGACAGGATGTTCAAAATTATAGTCCTATCTTCTTAAAAGCTCAAGATTGGATCACAAATCCCTTATGCAATTGATTTAGATAAAAAAAATCAACTAGCTTAGGAGCTTACAAAGGTGTAGGCGGGATAAGATGAAGAGTGATTAATTAGCTCTTTCTTTTTGTAAAATATGTTTGGGATTTTTTTGTGTTATAGTGAGGTTGGTAAATATTTTCTCCATCAATAGATTATAGATATGACTAAGTTTTAAAATTAATCTTCACAATTGATTTTCATCTTCACCGAAACTATTAGAGACAAACACATTGGCCATCATTTTATGCATCCTACGTACGATGGGTCTCCCGTCTTTTGGCTACAATAATGTAATACGGAGTACTCCCTCCCCCGTCAATAATAAAACTTCCAAATAGGTTTGGCACACAGTTTAAGATAGTGAGTATTGTGTGGTGGAGAGTTGTGCAGAGGAGAGAGAAATGTGTGAGAATTGTTGTGAACCACAAATTCTGGCCAAAAAGGGAAAGTGGAAGTTTTAGTTGGGACGGACGAAAAATGAAAGTTGGAAGTTTTGTTAGAACTTTTATTGTGGGTCAAGTTTGTCTGTAATGTCTTGTTTAAATAAAGTAGACTAGTTATACTATTTATGGTATTAGATTAGTATTTATTATGTAGCAAATAAGATAAAGGGAATAAGGCCCAAAAAGGCCTTGGCCCAACTTCCAAGGTTTACCTAAATCGGTAACCTGTACAGCGCCTATAAATATGCGCCTTGTGTACAGGTACCGATATCGATCAATACACATTAGCCTTACGCTGCCAAATTTACTTCTCGATACAACAGAAAGAAGAATTTCCTTGTTCTCGATATTGCCTTATCATTATCAGATCTTCTCTCTTTCTGTGTGTCGATGAAATCCATCTAGCTGCGTGTTAGTCTGCATAATCTGGGACCAACAACTGGTATCAGAGCATGCTCGAGTGTGATCGTCGAAGAAAAGTTTTCGAAGTTTCTCTGTTTTCATACTTTTCGATATATCTCTTTGTAATCACTGTAATCTTGTTTCTGATCGATAAACTGTAAAAGTTATACCATTGGATTCGCCATTCAGAAACGAACCAAGGGTATATCTTACTTTTCGATTTCAGTAGATTCGGTATTTTTGATTTCTCGATAGTATGAGTTCGAAAAGCAAGGTTCTCGACATTTAAGCAGGTTTTTCAGGACGAAAACTATACAGGAAGACTCTCGAGATCAAAAACTTCACAGAAAAGTTGTTTAATCTGTTTAAATCTGAACTTTTGATTTGCAGGATTTCGATACTACGTTCTCGATACAAGTTCTCGAACTGAGTTCTCGAGATTGCTTTCTCGATACTTAGTTTTCGATACTAAATATCTAAAAACTCTGTTTTTCAAATTGCAGGTTCTCGATACAGCTTCTCGACACTCAGTTCTCGAAACTAAGTTCTCGAACTTAGCTTCTCGATACTGAAGTTCTCGATACAGCTTCTCGAATCCTGCTTCTCGATAAACAGGTTCTCGATATTCACTATCGAAAACTGGTTCTCGATAGAACTTCTCGAACCCTAGTTTTCGAATTTTTCTTGAATTAGGTTTTCGACATTCTGCATCTTAAATTTTTTTTCTGATCAAAACACTCGACCGATCTGTTAAGGCTCAATCAGCAAAGATGGAAGCATTAGCACTTGGAAATGACAACAGACCACCCATCCTCAGAAAAGGAGAATATCAGATGTGGAAGACAAGATTCTTGAACTTTCTGGAAGGGAAAGACAATTCATCTGCCATGCTTGAATCACTCACACAAGGTCCTGCTGAGATCTATACTGAAGTAGATACCTCAGATGTAAACAACCCCCCTGTCAACTATGTGAAAAGATTGAAGACAAAAGGCGAATACACTGAGGCTGACAAGTTGAGAATCAAAGCTGATCTCATGGCAAAAACTTACCTGCTGCAAGCTATCCCCAATGATATCTACATTCTGATAGACAGCATGGAGACAGCAAAGGAAATGTGGGATGAGGTGAAGAAGTTAATGATTGGAACTGATCTTGGTTTGAAGACAAAGAAAGCGAACATCTTGACCGCCTATGATGCTTTTAAAGCCCTACCTGGTGAGGCGCTCCATGAGACGTATAACAGATTCGTACAACTGATCAATGAGATGAGAAAGATCAAAGTTGTCAAATCTAATATGGAAATGAACATACGTTTCTTGTCGAGCCTGCCGCCAGAATGGAGAAGAACTGTTAAGAATCTACGACAGCACCTAGACTTGGATGAACTTGACCTCTGCACTGTCCATGAACATCTACAGCAGTTTGTTAATGACACTGCTGAGATGGAAGGAAGTTTCTCTGCAAATCCTTTAGCACTCATGATTGAAGCTAAATCAAAGAGTTCATCTAAGGGTCCGAAGAAGAAAAAGGCAGTCAAGATAGAGTCAGAAGAAGAAGAGAGTGAAGAAGAAATGGATGTTGAATCCGAGCTGGCCGATCTACAGAAGAAGATGGCACTACTTACCAATCAGTTCAACAAAAGGTTTGCCAAGAAAGGAAGCTCATCAAACAAGCTCCGAACCTCCTCAGCCAACTACAAAACAAAAACCAATGATCAAAACTCTTCTAGTAGAGTTGTTGCAGCCGAAGACCCCCTCAAATGCTTTAACTGTGGAAAAGCTGGACATGTTATCAAGGACTGTCGCTTACCAAAGAAGAGGGACTTCAACTATTACAAGCAAAAGATGCTGTGGAACAAGCAGAAGATGTTCATGGCCAAGCAAGATGATGATAGTGCTGCAACTCCTACTGAGAATGATCCATGGCAGGAGGAGAGTTCCGATGATGAAGAAGAAGAGAATCTGGCCCTGATGGCGTTTGTAGAAGAAGAAGGAAAAGACAAGGGTGATGCTGCGATCCCCGGAAAAGGTCAAAGTTCAAGCTCAAACACCACTGTAAGTACTTCTGAACCTTCTTGCTCCTGTACTTGCAAAGTTCATTCCTCACAAGAAAAGGATAACACCATAAAGGAGTTAAAGGGCAGGTTAGATCATAACTACAAAGTTGCACTTGACACTCTAGATAAGAGTCACTCTCTGAAGTTGCAACTAGAAAATGAGAAAGAAAGAGTTCAGAAACAAAATTTAGAAGCAGAGAAGCTTACACAAAAAATAACTGAACTAACTAAGAAGGTCAGTGACACAGAACTCGAACGAAATGTTGCGAAAGCAGAAAATGATTTTCTACGCAAACAAAGATGTGCTCTTTACACAAAAATCAAAGAATTAGAAGACCTGCTGGTCAAAAGAGGACAAACTGAACAAACAATTTTCTTAAACCAAAACAGGGACACTCGGTTTTATAACTCAAAGGAAGGTCTTGGATTTACTAACCCCAACAATCTGAAAAAGATTGATTGTCTCCAACTTTACAACATAAAGTACATGGGGTTAGGATTGACCAAGTTGATGGCTTTTACCTACGGAAAAGAAATCGCAGAAGAAGAAGAAGAGGTAAAGCGGTCAAATCCTTCAAAAGCCGAAATTCCTTTCAGTTATGATTCCCTGAACGAAAGCTATGAAAATGATGAACCTGTTTTGTCAACTGATGAGAGTGTGAATCTCTATCCTTCTGAGAAGGAAGTTGTGTCAGAACCTGAACCCCCTTCAACCTCAGGTTCAAGTGGAGAAGAACCCTACATCCCTCCACTAATCAGGAAATTTGAAAACTTACACATCTCTTTAGAAAATCAAAGAAAAAGTTTTGAAGAAGAGAGAAAAGAATTCGAAAGTGAGAGGGAGAGGTTGTTGAGAGAACTGACCATTTTAAAAGAAAGTTCC